AATAAAAACAATAAAAAGAGTTTTCTATATACTTTCTTATTGCAGTATGATTCACAATTACAGAATTCTGAAGGGACTTGGCAGGAGCTAATTTGAATTACTATGCGATGTTGTGTCACTTGGAAATTTGACATTCAAATTTAGAGTCATTAGAGGCCAAAATCAAAAATATAAATTTATTTCAGTATGGTATGATTTTGTGATGTATGCTAAATTACAGAAACACAGATGGTCTCCATCTTTTAAGCAATTTGGACGATTTGAGTTTTGTAAATATTTGTCAATATTCATATCTCCTTTATAGTGTTCTCAATTTTGTTTTGGGGGGAAAAAATCAGATGCTTATTTGATGTACTTACCTCAGCAGATGCTTCACATCATAAAAATATTTATTATGTGCCTGCCCAGAAAGTTAACTTTAATCCAAATTTTATTTGTTGCAATTAGATTTTGCTTTCTTTTTTATATAGCTCATATTAAAATGTATCTTATTTTCCAGAATGGTGAGGGAGGGAGGGGAATGAGGCATCAGCAATGTTTGAACTGAACGCTTCACCAATGGAGCCAATCTGGAGCTCCCAACCTCATCCCTCCCACTAAGCAGCTGTGATCCTGTTGCCAGGAAGCTATTGCTATGGCTCTGCCCACCGCCAGGCAACGCACTGCTGTGTTGCCAATCTTATTTTTGAAAGTGGTTTTCTTTTAACAATGGGAGAGGAAGAAGTGCATTTTCTTTGGTTCTGTTTGCTAAAAGAAATTTAGCATCTCTGCAATATTCTAATTTCTATCATTTAAATTACATCATAGCCACAAAGTTCAGTGAACTTGAATATAATGTCTCTGCTTTGGTGGGGATTGCATCATCATCGCCACCACCATCATCATTATTTTCTAAATACTGTAAAAGCTTGTCTTATTCTTTTAGACGTCTTTGGAGAGGCTGCTCAGGCTAATGTGGAATTTTTGCATGCTGTGGTTGAGTTTCAGACGTGAAGGCTATTTGTATATTAGTAATTCAGCACAGGAAATCGCTCCTAGAACAGCACATTTGGCAGCAGCTAGGGGCAAGTGCCTTTGAAAATACGTAAGTTGGGAAGAACACAAAGGAGAGGAAATTTGGGTATGTTCATACCTGCCCTCTCAAACAGTAGTAGTAGTTTCATTACTAAAACACTTCCTTCTGATCTGTTCATGCTGACATTGCAGTGAGGAATACATTGCCCTCGTTCACATCAATGTGTCTGCAGAGTTGCATCTGGACTGCCAATATTTTGCAAGAGGCATTCAGTCACATTCTCAAAATTTAGGTTTCCACAATCGAAGTGGGTTGAAGTGCTCTGGCACAACACATTCACATATTTATTTATTTAGAGAAAAGCATACTTTTTGCAATTAGGGGAAATGATGGGAAAATGCACTAAAAAGCATGAGATACTAATAGATGGACAGGAAGACATATAACCTCCAGGCAAACAAACTGGGATGAGTGCTGCTTGTTGTACAAGCTCCCCACAATGGGGAATGAATTGAGAATGAATGCTCAATAAAGGGTGGACACTGTATAGTCTCCGCACACATTTTGTGGAAGCAAATCAGGATGAGCTGAAGGACTTCTACATCAACCAAGATGAGGCATATAATTACTGAACTTACTAATGGAGTAACTATTGCTGTTTGAGGGGATACAGTAGATGCAGATGTACCCTTAACTTGCCCACATCCTGATTTTCAGAGAAGCACTGTGGAACTGCATTAGAGTAGGTAGGTTTGATGTGTGCATAAAAAGGGTTGCCAATTTCTTTTTTGGCAGTGCTTCCTGCAGACATTCTGTCTCTTTTAACAGGTCAATGGGCTGTATCCAACTATGTCATGCTCAGGTAGGTTAATTGAAATCAATGAACTTAACTAATGTATTTAATATATCTAGTTTGGCCCACAACTAGTAGTTTTAACATCAACTTCACAGTGCATAGTCCTGGTTAAATGCTTAATATATGTTTGTATCAGTCAGACACACCTATGCAGCTGGTTCATGGTTCACTCGTTTATGCAAACTGTGAGGTGGTGTTGATTTCAAGAACAAAATACAACTTCATTTGCTTCAATAATAAATCAGGAAGAGTGCTTTTGACAGAGTGTTGTTCCCATAGGACATTCTGCTGCCCAGCTACCAAGGTGAAGCTTTCCCCTGTTGTTGTTTTTTAAAGACTGTATCCTTAAAAGTAATCCCACACACTCACAGTTTTCAGAACTTGCTCTCCCTTAATGATTAATCCAATTTTTAGGGAGCCGTGCAGTTTCAAACCCTCCCCCAAGGCAATAGAAATCTGAACCAAGTAATTTGACTTAGTGATAATTAATGACACAGGGTTATTATCTGAATACAAGACAGGGATCCCAAGCAGATGAAGGATTATCTGGGTTACTTTCAGATCTCAGGTATGCTCGTTCAGTACATCTGAACTGCTGAGAGCATCTTTGTATCTCCAACTTGCTTATTGCAGATAGGAAGAGTGCTGCACTGACCTGAGCATGGATGCTACATTTTAAACAGAAATATTAGCAAGAGAAAATCAATGCTACATCATACTTTCTTTCCACTATCTTATTGGATTTCCATGCTCCTAAGGGAGGCATCTGAAGAATGGGAAGGAAAAGTTCTATGCTTGCCAACCTTTTTCTGAATTTTTCTTTGTTCATTCATACCATTGGAGTACATGGTATTTACCCAGTTACAAAGGCAACATAGGTAGGCCCCTGCTCTCAATGTGCTTACACTCTAAGACAGATTGTGGAGCAGCAACGGAAAGAAGCAACAGACAAAAGAAAGCAAGGATGACCATAGGCAAATGCATGTAAATGAGGGTGATGAGGACAAACAAAAGACTATATGGAAAAAGTGAGTTTTGGATTGTTGTGGACCATGAAAAACAACATGCTGTGCAGTTAAATATTCAAAACACACCATCAGCTTAAATAGCAGGAAATGAGCAGAGGTCTGTTCATTGCATTAGGCTAATCACCAGGGCTGGGTATGGTGCAATCTAGTAGTTGACACAAAGTATGAAGAATTCCAGAGAACCTCCGGTTTAATTTTGAAAAGGAGAAAAAGTTCATTTTTAGAACTGCTGTAGAAAATAAACTAGCAAAAAGCTTTTTCATGTTGCGTCAGACTGTTCATGTACACTATCTGCCTGCTGCTGCTGCCTGCTCTGACTGGCAGCAACTCTCTAAGATACCAAGGCCACACTAACTGGGGTGGTGTGTCTTGTTTTGGGAGATGATGATGATAATAATAATGATAATTTATATACTGAAAGATGGAGGGCACAGGGAGAAGGGGATGACAGAGGATGAAGTGGTTGGACAGTGTTCTTGAAGCTACGAACATGAGTTTGACTGTGGGAGGCAGTGGAAGACAGGAGTGCCTGGCGTGCTCTGGTCCATGGGGTCACAAAGAGTCGGACACGACTAAACAACAACAACATATACTGCCTATACCTGGGGGTCTCAGGGCAGTTCACAGAATAAATGCCACACTGCCCTGCAGCCTCCACTTTGTTCATCCCACTGTCCCTGCCACTGGTAGAGAAGAAGAAGCAGTGCTGATTTGCAGCAAGATCTCACCAGAAATTAGGGCTGCTTCTCTACCACAGTGGTGGGTGCCTGTGGGGGGTCACCTTGGGGGCTTCCACCATCTGAGGCAGTTGCTTCACCCCGCCTCATGGATGGGATGGGCTTGCACACTATAAATTACAAGGGGAACTCTGTTTACAGTGTAACATTACTAGAAAGCTTGGGACTATTTGTAGGAAGGATTGTGGGCAGGAAGTGGGTGCTTAACTTGTTCTCTGCTTATTGATTTATCACTGCAAATGCCATTTAGAAAAGTTTTGTCTTCAGCTTCTTTAAACCTGTCATGTGTGGGGAGAACCCTATAATAATAAATGGGGAGGGGATAGGAAACCTGGGGTTTTGACATAGGGGTGGCATATAATGATTGGATAGGAGTCTGTAAATAAACAAACAGCTGTCCCTCAGATCTCCTTTCAGAGGTAAGAACTGAAAGGCAAGTTCAGGAAACTGATCCAAACATGAGTACTGTACATGTACCGTAATAAAACTACATTGTATGCTAATGATGTAGTTTTTAATCCAGCATAATCTTTTTTTTGCCCTTATGGATCTATTGAACAATTTTAACTCTCTCAAGATACAAAATTGCTTGATCAAAGTCCACATTACTGAATATACTTGATTTGATTAAAAAATGAAACTGAAGAATTGAAGAGCATAGCACAGCCCAGTGGTACAGTGACTGACTATGACCAGGACAACCCAGATATTCTTTCCTTTGTTTGATGTGTACCCCCCTTTTATTTAAAAAACGGCTTTATCTGAAATAATGTTTACAGCAATAGCTGAAGAGTATTTGGTAAAACTTGCTAAATATATTTTGTAGTAGCATGTTGCATTTTTAAATGTTTCACTTTTTGCATTTCTTTTGACATTTAGGCTTGTGTGCACACACACCTGAGTCTCCTAGGCTGCTTAGCCACAGACAAAAATCTCCTGACCTGAACTCCAACCTATGTTTCTGGGCCTCTCACATACAGAAAGAGGAGGAACAGAGCCGCTTTCTTGGCTTTTGCATTCTAGTAAATTCTTCCCTTATAGGTATTTAGGGCTACCTGCTTGTTATGGAAGTAAGAGGAAGTCCAACTTGCAGGCGGGTTAGGGAGTTACATAGCTCCTGGAACTACTTTATAATGCAATACTGTATATGAAAACATGGTATTAAATGACCACTTGAATAATTTTCTGTCTTAAAACAGGAATAGCGCTGTAGAGCAGCTTTGGAAAGCAGCAGTTAAACTAGTCCCCACTATGCACCCATGCTTTTTGTATGGATCCATTTCCAGGTGGTACAAGGGAGTTGTGTTTGTGTGGGGGCCGATTCTTACTCTGCCGTACTAAATTCATAATTAGTAAGAGTGTACCTTAGAGGCCAAGTGCAGGAGAAGAGGATAATAGCTTGCTTTCATCTATTTTGTGGATTTTCATCATGGAGAAAACTTGGGCAGCACGGGCAGAGAAACAAGCAGATTCTGCTCAGAGCTACGAAAGAGAAAAAAAACAGCAGATTTTAGATGCCTCCTCAATTATCAGAGAAGCACAGGGCTGCTAACAATATAATATAATAAACATCGTAATAGTTTAATCACTGGCAAATCCAACACTGATAATTCTATACATAGAACAGCAGCAGCACTCAGCAGTACCTTGACCAAGAGACTTGGCTCCTATAGCGTCTATAAGGCCTGGACAAATAAATGTATCTAAAGCACGCAACAATAGAATTACAGTTCTGACCTAGTCACCGTGTGTCATTTGGCAGGTGCTGAAAAGTTCGCTTTTTAGGAAAGCTTTTAAAACTGCTTCTACTACCACCACTTTTGCTGTGTTCAATATACTTTGCTTTGATTATGATGTGTTTACTTTGTTTCTTCACCTCCTTGCTGCTTGTGTGGTTTGTGGTTTTTTAAAAAATGGTTTATTCCCCCCCCCACTCTGCTTTATTTTTGTATTTGCTATTTGTAAATTGCCTTTGAGACCCTTTGAATCTCAACAAATAAATAAATATTGGGTTTACATACTAAAGGATGATGTGCAGCTTTTCCACTCCCCTCCTGTAGTGTCTAGCAACAGCTGTCACTTAACTCTTTCCATTTTTAAAATATATTTCTATTAATATGTTTCTTTTCTATTATTCCCTTCCTTTGATGAGCGTAGGGTGGTATACATAGGTTTTCTCCTTTAAACATTTATCTCCATAACAACCCTGTGATGCAGATCAAGCTAACTGAGATGTGTGTTTTCAGGACCCACTCTATTCCAGTGACTGTAATTTGTCTTTACTGTTTAATACTAAATTTCAAATTGTTGTAGCCTGCCCTGGGACTTGCTGGTGAAGGGTGGGTAATAAATCTAGTAGCTGTAGTAGTAGTAGTAGTAGTAGTAATAATAATAATAATAATAATAATAATAATAAATCACTGGCCCAAGTTTCATAGCTGAGTGACAGTTTGAGCCTGAGTCAGTTTTAGTCCGTACAAATTGTGTGAAGAAAGTCATTTCCTGTAGTTTGTTCTCTGTGCAATGCAATCCTAGTTGTGTCTTAACTGAGTAGCTATTCAATGAGGAGGGAACTTTATACATACTCATAAGCAGACTCGTCTTTTCTGTTTAGGATGAGCACTAGCGCTGAAAACAAGTTTTGACACTAAACCCTCATAAGCCTGGGTTGAATTATGTCTTGTATTCTGGTATCCTTTTAACGTGCCACTCACCCACTTTCCTTATCTCTATGCCTTCCTGCGTTTCATCTGGGTTCTGTAACATCACAACAAATAAGGCAGTGGTTATAAAGAAGATGAAATTAAATGGACCAGAAAAAAACAGTACAGTAAGGAATGGATGGTTTCTGTCACTATAGTCAATTCTGCAACCTGTATAAGTTGTGCAAATCAAGGAAATGTGCATGATTCATTTTCTTCTCTAACATTTATTCTGGTTATGGAGATAAGCAAGGACCTTTGCAGGCTCCTTTGGTTTAGGAGGCATTTGCCCATAGACATTGCTCCCATCCCGCCTGTCATGGGACATATATAGAGTCTATAGCAGCTAGGGGAGGGTAATGGGCAGGCCTTAGTCAGTGTACAGTTCCAGCTTAAGTACAATTAATAATTCAAATTATCATTCAAAGCAAGGGGAATGTCAGGAATAAATAGAAATGATAGAAAAAAGAAAATATATATTAAAAATACCAGTCAAGTTATCCTGAAGGGTTTATAAGGAACTCACTAGTGATGCTGACAAGGGGAAATAGTAATTTCTGTTCAAGCACAAAATAACCTATGGCAGAAAAAGGCTCGGCTGTTTGAAACATAGGGTGTAAGTGCCAAGCAGAAACTCAAGAACAATTCTGGAATATGTCCAATTAACCCTGCAGGTTAAGGAGTGGACATTTCTGATAACTAGGTGGGGAAATGGGAGTGAAAAGATTCCTCGGTGTTGTTTGCTGCTGTAATGGCTTTAGAGTACCAAGGACTACACTGAATTTATGAAGGAAGTTTTGTTTTGTTCAATGGAAATTATTCCTATGCATAATTATTTGGAAGTAACATCAACCGAGTTCAAAGGGACATAGTAAGTGTGATTAAACTTGCATCCTAAACATCAGCCTTCCAGAATCTGATAGTAGAGTTTGGGACTAGGATACTGAAATTAGGGATAGGGGTAGTGCCCCCTTCCTAGTATTTACAAATATATTTACAAAAAAGTAACAGCTTCATAGGTTAGCTGCCCAAAGATGATTATTCTTGTCAGACATTTATTCCAGTTTTCCCTTGCCAGAGGGACTCCTTTGCTCTTCGACTGAAATTCTAAAACTGCATCAAATCCAGTTGCAACTTGTTAAAAACCGGTATTTTGTTGGAGGACAACAGATGAGAGTTCTGCCAGTTTGGTTCTGTCAGCTCCACATTTGAAAATGGAAATGTGCAACACTATGAGAGGACTTTGTTTAGAAGATCTGACCAAGTTATTCAAAGAACCACATGAGGTCCATTTGGGGAAAGGGCTTCAGCTTTGGGAGATAATAGTTAGGCAAAGCAAAGGGACACGGCTAAACGAGGTGCAAAAATGTGAGACAGATACACTGGTCCCTAGGCCAGGACTTAGGTCCTTTACCCCTTCGAAATAATAAAGTCTGGGCAAAGTTGATGAAGCAGCAATATTTTATTGAAAATAAACACTTGCAAGTGGTTGACCTGAAAAGGCAGGCACACACTTTATCAGAAACATGAATATTTACCGTATTTTTCGCCCTATAGGACGCACTTTCCCCCCTCCAAAAATGAAGGGGAAATGTGTGTGCGTCCTATGGGGCGAATGCAGGCTTTCGCTGAAGCCTGGAGAGCGAGAGGGGTCGGTGTGCACCGACCCCTCTTGCTCTCCAGGCTTCAGGGAGCTATCCGCAAGCCTTGGGAGCCTGTGGGAGTTCCTGCCGGGCTCCCAAGGCTTGCGGACAGCAGCCTGCAGCCCGAAACCCGGGGAGCGCAGCGGAGTGCGCCCCGGGCTTCGGGCAGCTTTCCACAACCCTTGGGAGCCCGGCACGACTTCCCGCCGGGCTCCCTAGGCTTGCGGATAGCAGCCTGTTCTGGGGGCTGGGCTCGGGGGAAGCTCGGGCTTCCCCAGCCTCGCGCATGGGGAGGAAATAATTTCCCCCCCTTTATTCCTCCCCCCCAGAACTAGGTGCGCCCTATGGGGCGAAAAATACGGTAAACCTTTTCCCCAAGCGCAAGTCCCTCCTTTGCCGCCCACTAGGAAGGGGCATTCAAAGTTCAACACCTATCGTGTCCGTCTATTGCTATGTAAAATCCAAACCCCCACCCCCTCTTTCATCCCCCAAAGCCCCTTATTTGGTTAATTTTTCCCATTCCCCAAAGCCCCTAATTTGGTCAAGCCTCTGTCCCCTTCATACTGTTTTAGAAATAAGGCTAGGTTCCTTTATTTCACTGAAGTGTGTGACACCGTGACCTGTTTCAGCTACCTGTTTTGCAAAAAGCCCCTGGCCACGGTTGCTAAAGATACTCTATTTCTTCAGAACAACTTATCTTTCTCAAAAAGTTCCCAGCCTCAAGGTTTCGAGTGAAACAACACCCAAAGAACATGTGACCACAGCTAGTTTGAAATATGCTACCAACAGCTACTCCACATCCTGGCTGCAATATTCCTATAGCCTTACACACCCCTGCTGCAATTTTCTTAAAAGCCCTATGATTTACACGATTAATAAAAACATTTTCCTTTTCTGCAGGAGCAAACTGAAAAGACAACATATACATTTCTCACAAAAAGTCTCAGACTATAAGATTTGAATATTTCAACTATAAAGATCACCGCATAACTGGGGCAAGTTGCTCATTCTCCCAACTGATATTATATCTCCTTATCTCACTCTGCACACCCACATCCTTCTGCTTTTCTCTCAGATAAAAATGATGGGTGTGCTGCTGATGGGATCCAGCGAGCAATTTTATTGTTAAGGAGAGGGTGAGGTGGGAGACCAGGGCTGCCCAAACGTACCCATTGCTTATGCAGGGCTGGCCCACCCATTAGGCAAGGTGAGGCAACCGCCTCTGGCGGCAGGATCCACAGGGGTGGCAGCAGCAGCAGCAGCAGAGCCCCATGATGTAGATATTTATTTCCCACCTACCCACCCCCTTGTTCCTGATGTAAAAAAGGAAAAGGCCCTGATGTAGATCTTCCCTCACGCCTTCTTCCCTGGTGCTCAGAAGGGCGCCATTTTGTGGTTCGCCTCAGGTGCCAAAATGCCTTGGGCAGGTGACATTTATGCCAGAGAGGCTTTGCTGCGAACGGCGTTCCCTCAGGGGTGAGGTAAACCCTATGAAAAGTGGGCAGAGAGCAGGTTGTCGGAGGGGGCATGTGTATTCGTTATATTTCCTCCCCACCCGTCTGCGGCGGCGAAGGCCACCAGAAGTGGCTCAAGACCACGGCTGAGACGACCAAGTGCTGAGGGAACGTGTGGGGAAAGTCTTTCCCTCCTTTAAAAATAAATAATAATAATATCCATGCGAGACGGCTAATGCGATATAAACTGACCAAGACGTGAGCCCCCTTAGGGGCGCTCAAAATCAGACGGCGGATTCGATGGAAGAGTCAGATTAAACGCCACATGAAACAGGCCGAGAAATCAACGACCAGAGGGCTCTGAGGGCGCTTCCCTCCCTGCCTCCGAGCCTCCGCCGTCAGACCGGTTCTGCTCGCGGAGCGAGGCCCGCGAAGCCCCACCCAGGGCCGCCTTTGGGAGTGGCCGCCAGTCAAGCGGCGGGCACCTTTATCCGAGGCAGGCAGTCCGACCGCCTGCTCGCTCGCTCGCCCTCCCGCCGAGCCCAGCGTCTTGCCGGGTCACAGCGTGGGGCTTGGGTGGGTGGCTGCCCGCAAGTTAAAAGTGGCCGCCGAAGGAGCTCGCCCTCCTTCCTTCCCGCCCCACGCGAGCTGAACTCTGAAGCCCGCCCTTAATCCAAAGAGAGATGACAGCGGAAGATCGGCTTGCGTGTTCGCCGCCCGTTGACAGGGCTTCCTCTGAGTCCGGAACCTCCTTTGGGCGCGAGGGATTCGTGAAGAGGAGAGTGCTTCTGAGCGCGTGTAGAGTGCACCTCTCTCTTTCCACTGCCCCCCGCCGTTGAGTAGCCGCACCAGGGAGCCTAGGTTCGCGTGTGATTTCTGATATAGACAGGCATGAGCCTCTAAATTTAGAAACTTAAGGATTTATGGAAGGCGGGGTGAGGGGGGAAATGTCCTTTTTTTTTGGTCCAGCCCTCCTCCTGATGTGCTATCTTGCCTAGAAACTGAAGACCGCTTAAGACAGGTGAGTTCCTGCTTTATGCTCTTTAACCAACTGCGCAGCAGGCAAAAATGGCAATAGGTTAAGCTTCTGTGTGGATCGTGAGAGTTAAATCGGTTAGATTTCTGCTTGCCAGGCAATGGCTGAATACGCATCATCTCTGGAAGAAAAAGGTTGCTCACGAGTGAAGTTGTGGCAATGAAGGTGAAAACAAAAGATGATCTGACAAAATAAGTCAGGAAATGTGATCACAAAGGTGTGATTAGGGTCAAATGACATGCGATGGGTAGTTGTAACTTTGTTTAGGCTTGATTTTTATTTTTTAAAGTGACCCCTGCCCATTAGGTCCAGTCGTGGCCGACTCTGGGGTTGCGGCGCTCATCTCGCTTTATTGGCCGAGGGAGCCGGCGTACAGCTTCCGGGTCATGTGGCCAGCATGACTAAGCCGCTTCTGGCAAACCAGAGCAGCGCACGGAAACACCGTTTACCTTCGCGCCAGAGAGGTACCTATTTATCTACTTGCACTTGATGTGCTTTTGAACTGCTAGGTTGGCAAGAGCAGGGACCAAGCAACGAGTGCTCACCCTGTCACGGGGATTTGAACCGCCGACCTTCTGATCGGCAAGTCCTAGGCTCTGTGGTTTAACCCACAGCGCCACCCGCGTCCCTCTGACCCCTGATCTACTGTATAGCAAAGGTGCATTTATGAATCTGCCTTAGTTCAGTAACTAACCAGCACAAAAAAATTGGAGTCCTTTAAGGGTATTTACCCGGATGAGTTGAAGCGTCACCTGCCGGAAGGTGAAGAAGAGGCCCAAACAAAGGTGTTATAATGTGGTTTGAGTCGTTTGTAATAAGTAAGAAAACTGAGTGCATTCTACCCATATATAATTTGTATACATTCTGTCCTTGACATGGCCTGTTATTTAAATGCTTAATAAACACAAAAACCTAAAGTGCCTGATCCTCCTTTTTCAAAACTGCATTTTATCAGCTGTCCAACTGCACAATTCGCCCCTCAACTCCACCTTTTGTGCCAAACTACACTAACCCCACCTGCTTAGAGACTGCTTTACCCTTCCAGCTGCTTTTCTATTGAAAAATCACCCACCTCCACTTCAGCTGCTTTTCTTGGTGCGGGGAGAGTAAACTAGACTTGAACCTTTCTCCCTGGTCGTTTTTGTGTGTACAGAATATGATTTTGTATGGATGGAAATTGTTAGCCCCCGCCTTGCAGTCTGAAATAGTATTTCCCGTACACAAATTTTATCACCTCAGAGAGAACAAGATATTTGGTCTACATGAGGCCCTATTATCACCCCATCTGCCTTGATGTAAGACCCAGTGTTGTCTTATTTTGTGGCTCCCAATTGCACACTTAGCTCTTTAACTCCCCTCCACTGATATGAAAATAACCTCCACTTCTCCCTCCCACTCCCCTGACTCCTCCTTCACTTCATTCATAGGCGTGTGTTCCCCTTTCTCCTTTACAGAACTGAGGCGAGATCACTTCCTTACACTTCATGTTATGATGGTTGCTTCAAACATCATGAAAACCCACAATTTACATAAGTACTTTCTATTTAAGACCTTTTCTAGGTAACTTTTAGTAAGTAGGTTGTTTCTAAAAAATAGTTTGCGACTTGCTTGGTGTCTGACACTTCCACGAGTGGCTTTTTGCATGTGCTGTACACTCATGTCATGCTTTCCTTGGAGGAATCAGAATAATCACATAATTTGGAATAAGAAAACGGTGTAAAGCGCATGACTTGAAGAAAATACTGCTGGCCAGTCTTATGAGCTTCTGAAAATTTGATGTTGACACCAACAACCCTTTTCTAGTCAAGGGAGTTTAGTTTGTGTGGCAGTGAGAAATTTATTTATTTTACAAGCCATGTACAACAAGAGAAAATGAGTTAAAATACAAGTTTTAAAAACAATAGAACCATCCCTGCAAACTCTAAAAACAACTGTTTCTACATACCGTATGTACAATTAATATTCCATAAATGACTGAGTCACACCTCAGGGAAAGCCTTCTTAAACAAAAACGTCTTCAGTAGGCACCATTGTGCTCTAGGTTAACAGTAATGTCTGATTGCCCCATCAAGGACTCTTAATGATTGGGTTCTTCATGCCATTGTTGTTGTTGTTTAGTCGTTTAGTCGTGTCCGACTCTTCGTGACCCCATGGACCAGAGCACGCCAGGCACCTCTGTCCTCCACTACCTCCCGCAGTTTGGTCAAACTTCATGCCATTACTAATCATATTAATGTGAATGTTGGCCTCTATTGAGATTTGAATCTATTTCTCCAGTTTAACTTTGCAAACTCAAAACAGCTTATTGCCCTATAATGAGCAAGCTAATTAAGCAATGGGCTAAGGGTGAGACTCCATCCCACTTTTGAAAGGTTTAGTTGGGTGCTGCAGTACCCATGTGGAGAAGCTGCATGAGGTCCTCTACAGATAGGTTTCTTTGTGACCACCGGTTTTGGTCGAGCTCTGATTCACCACCATAGCTCTGATTCACCAGACAACCAACTGGAAAATTTGTATGAGTTTAAATTTGTTTTAGTTTATACTATTGTGGTTTTAACTGTAACTTTTTTAGTGGTAATTCTATTGTTTTATTTTATTTTTTTATAAACCACTTCAAGGTTCTTTTTACAATCAAGTGGTATATAATCATGTGAAGTGGGCACACATGAAGTGAGCTTTCTTGCAGAGGACCCAGTTTCACACTTTTGGCTCACACTTCAGTGTCTGTCGGTCAGGATGGCCGTTTATCACCCTCAGTACTGAAGGCAACATGTGGGAGAGTGCTTTCACACTCCTCTTTGTGAGCTTCTCATAGGTATCTGGTTGGTTGCAGTGGGAGCATAAACCTGGACTTTATAGGCATTTGGCCTGATCCAGCAGAGCTTTCCTGATTTTCTTAATTTATCTGTTTGGTGAATGGAGGGACTCACACTGCTTTTTCACAAGGCTAGTGTAGGATGGCCCTGGGTAAAAGTATGAACCATATCTGACTATGTTCATTGGTATAGTGGGTAGTCTGGATTACTTAGAGGTAAAGGTACCCCTGCCCGTACGGGCCAGTCGTTTCCGACTCTAGGGTTGTGCGCCCATCTCACTTAAGAGGCCAGGGGCCAGCGCTGTCCGGAGACACTTTCGGGTTACGTGGCCAGCGTGACGAAGCTGCTCTGGCGAGCCAGCACCAGCGCAGCACACGGAAACGCCATTTACCTTCCCGCTATAAAGCGGTACCTATTTATCTACTTGCACTTAGGGGTGCTTTCGAACTGCTAGGTGGGCAGGAGCTGGGACCGAACGACGGGAGCTCACCCCGCCGCGGGGATTCGAACTGCCGACCTTACGATCAGCAAGTCCTAGGCACTGAGGTTTTACCCACAGCGCCACCTGTGTCCCTCCTGGATTACTTAACCTGAACTAAAAATGCCACATCTTGTGTAGGCGCCCCAAGGACACATACTCAGAATTGCACAATATTCTGTTCCATAGTCTTCTGTATCCATGTGTAGTTGAAGACTGAATTTTTCCAACTCTTTCAGTGCCTGCTTTTGAAGCAATTATACCAGCTGTTGGATTTGAGTATGGGACTAAGACTATAATCCCGTACCTGCATCCTACTGCAAATGGAGCCATCCCTTTTATGCAGGCCTAGTTTGCCCTAGAATATTCCCCATTGCCTAACAAATCCAAACCTTTCCTCATAACACCATTATCACATCCATTGCACTGAGACTGAAAAGTTGTGTCTGTGTAGCTCGCCCTGTGTATGGAAGCAGTAGCATTGCATAGAAAGCTACCTTGGAGAACCTTGTTTTTAAACATACTTGGTCCTTGGAGTTCCTTTTTTTTTAATAAATATTTTATTAAGGATTTTCTTGTTTTACAGAAGTAAGTGTAATGCCTCGTATTTTTTCCATGTAACATTTTTACAAATCCGTTTCATTTGTTGAGACATTGGGGGGGAAGAAAAAAAAAGAAAAAAAAGGGGAGTGGAGGGAGGGAAGATGGGTGGGGGTGGGGTCGGGTGGCGATGTTTCTATTATGCTTAATGTATGTAGAGTTTGGTGTCAGCGTTGCTTGTGTTGTTCGCTTGTGTTCCTTGGTGGTGAGAGAGGTTGGGGTTGGCCTAGGGCAGGGGTCTGCAACCCGCGGCTCCGGAGCCGCATGTGGCTCTTTTATACCTTTGCTGCGGCTCCGGGGGCGGATACTAGTGAGGGGAGGAGGCGCACTCCTCACTGTGGCGGGCACTGTACTGGCTGTGACGCCAGTTAGTCACGCACCGCCCCGACGTCACCTTCCCGCCCACCCGCCCGCCCACTACATTGTAAGGGGCATGTACGCTGGTTACTGCATTGAAAGGGGGCATGTACGCTGGTCACTGTTTTGAAGGGGAGTGAAGAACACACACCAAAAAAAAAGGTAACTTGTTAATTTAACGTTTATTTCTATGAGGAGGAGTAATTCTGAGGGGTCAAACAAAGAAATAATTAAAAAGTGACAAAAAAGTTATTTTTATAATGACAAGTTTTGCGGCTCCCAGTTTTTTTCCCTTCGGAAACGGGTCCAAGTGGCTCTTTTTGTCTTAAAGGTTGCAGACCCCTGAAGTAGGGTGTGGTTGTTTATTCCTTGGAGTTCCTTATATAAAATGCTGGAGGCCTGACCAGGGTGAAGATCAAAATGGTCTCAGTCAGCTACATCTTACGACATTTACCCAGCATTGAGATGTTAATATAAACAAAAGCACATGGACCATCATGTGCTGTGTATAATGCAACAGTTCATTCTCATCTAGTAAATAGACCATTTTCTCTAAAAAAGGAGGATATCTAGTAAATATATATCCTCCTTTTTAGAGAAAATGGTCTACAACATCCAAAATCTTGCCTGTTCAGGTCAAGTGTCTTTCCCTATCCAACAAGTTAATTCAGAGCCTATTCATACAGTCAGTATACTGTACAATGAGATAACCTTTGATTTGTTTAAACATTCAAGAGATGAATCAGAAGTTAAAGTAAACTGAAGGAAACTTGACAGCTGCAAACTTGGTCATAACCAATCTCCTTAAGCCATGAAAGCAACAGATTGAATGTCTCCAGCCTCTTCCTACTCCCCTACAATCTGTTTGCAAATCAAACAAAGCAAAACAAAACAAGGCAAAAGAAAATAAGCATTTGGTCAGGATCCAAAGAAGTGATACATGCATGCCAAGGAGACAACATAGCCGGAGCCTCATTTGTGGCTTTTGCAGCAGCTGATCATATTGGTGAAGAAAAGACAAGCCACAATCATTTGCTTTTTCACTATGGAAACTTATGGTGACAACCATGAATGATGATGCTGTTCCATAATGGCTCTTACACATGATAGTCTTTGGATCATGCTATGTGTCTGTCAGGGTCTTTGTCTGTCATGGATCACTTTCTTATTTCTCCTTAGGATAGGGAGACCCTGAGTTCAGCAGTAGGGCAAAGAGAATAATAAATACTAGAGCATCAAAAATACTAAACGCAATTACAATAAACACAATAAATAAAAGCAGAAGGCTTTATAAGTTAAATCAGCACTTTAAATTGAGCCAGGAAACTAACTGGTAGCTAATGCAGTTGTTCCAGAATTGGTATTATATGGCCAGACTGTTCTGTCCCTGTCAACAATCTAGCTGCCAAATTCTGTGCCATCTGCAATTGCTGCAATGTCTTCAAAGGCAGCCCAACATAGAATGCATTGCAGTAATCCAACCTAGAGGTTACCAGACCATAGACAACAGATGTTAAGACTATCCCAGTCCAGATAGGGGCACAGCTGCATCATCACTAAAAAGCTGGTGGAAGGCATTCTGTGCCACTGAGGCCACCTGAACCTTAAGCAACCGTTAACAGGTCTAGAAGTACCCGCAAGCTATGTACCTACTCCTTTGGAGGGAATGTTACCCCACCCAGAGCCGGCCGTATCCAACCCCTCTGGTTTAGAGAACCACTCACTAACAGTGCCTCAGTCTTGTCTGGAGTTTAAGTTTTGTTAAATAAAATAAATGGGGGGAAATTTAAAGTCAATATTTCATCATTATTCACCCTATCTAGAGTATGGGAATAGCCACACTGAACTACTTTGTTGAAAGGGTTATTGTGTGGCCCTGCTTTGGACAGTAATGCTTCTGTTTAATAATGGTAAATTTGTAAGCTGCCTTGAATGATAAGAGACACAAGGTGGTGTGGGTATAAGGAAGGAAGCTTTGGTTGATCGTTTGACTCTGAGAAGGTACTTTCCCTCTAGGTCAGACTGCCTAGTAGTCCTGCTTTGTTTGCTCCCCACTCCCCAGCTGTTCACAGTCCTCTATTTTTATGCATATTAAAGAACTTCTCATGCTGTGAAACTCATCAAATCAAGAGAATTGTACACTTGCTTTTTAAAAAGTGTAAGACTGCAATATTGAGGGAAACAGAATTCTGCAGCGGAACGGGACTCGAAAATACTCAGTTTTGCTGCCTTCAAGAGTACAAACACCTGATGTTTCCATTTTAAGCCTTCCAACACAATGGCATTCCTCTAATAGGAATAATCTATGCAAATAAAATGGCTCTTGTGCTTTGACCTCGTGAACAGAGTTTTAATGCTGCCCAAGCCTTTTAGGCTGAGTCATAACATTTTAAAAGATAGGAGCGAGGAGCAGGATGGGGGGCGGGGAAGGTTTATAATAGAAATGCTGACACAAGGGTGGCTGAAAACAACTGTTTGAGCCAGAGGTGGTGGGGTCCAGGTCTTTCTTTGGATAAAGGCTGCATTATTCAAGAGTTAATGCCACGGACCTCATTCCTGCTGACTGCAGGTTCTGACTGATAAGGCTGCACCCACCCAGATCAGTGACTTGCTTGAACAGTGGCTACATCATGATGTTCTGCTGGCCTGCAGGATGTGCATCACAATGTATTTTGGTTGACCAAGGGTCTGATTCAGTATAAAGCTGAGAGGTATACATAAATTCATAGACTAGACGATATAAACAAAATATACATGCCCTTCTCTTGCTTCCAAACCCTTCCATGGTTCTACAGTGGTGCCCCGCAAGACGAATGCCTCGCAAGACGAAAAACCCGCAAGACGAAAGGGTTTTCCGTCGCGGAGGCGCTTCGCAAGACGAAGTTCCCTATGGGCTTGCTTCGCAAGACGAAAACGTCTTGCGAGTCTCGCCATTTCCCCCCCGCTTCCCCCCCTTTTTCAAAGCGGCTAAACTGTTAATAGCCTTTTAACAGCTTAGCCGCTAAGCCCGCTAAGCCGCTAATAGCGCTAAATCGCTAATAGCGCTAATCCGCTTAGCCGCCAATGGGGTTGCTTCGCAAGATGAAAAAACCGCTAGAAGAAAAGAATCGCAGAACGGATTCTTTTCGTCTTGCGAGGCACCACTGTATTGCCTTGTGATCTCATGATGCTGGTCAATACTAGGTCAGTGAATGGACTCTGGCCTTGGTTTTCTGCACTGAATTGGATTATGGTGATCTTAGAGTGGAGGAACTTTCTATTGTTCAGTTGTCATGGTCTGATTACTACCTGGTAAAGTTTAGACTTGCTGGAAGTCAGAGACTCTACAGGGGTGGGGGACTGAATAAGTGTTGCACCCCAGGAGGCTGATGGATCTGGATGGTTTCCTGATGACTCATACAAACCTGCCTGGGTTTTGAGATCTTCAGGGGAGGCCTTCTCTTGTTCCCACCACCCTCACAGGTATGCTTTGTGGGATCATGGGACAGGGACTTCTCGGTAGCTGCTCCCAGTCTTTGAAATTCCCTCCCCAGATAAGCTAGACTGGCTCCCTCCTTGTCCTTCTGCTGGCAGGTGAATACTGTTTTGTTCCATCAGGCTTTTGTGAACCGACTGCCTTTAATAGTAACTTTGTTAATAAGTTTGGTGTCTAGCTCTGAGCCTTACTGTCAAGATTGCATGTACAGAGCTATTTCCCATTTGGGGCTATGGTTTCTTTGTTGAGAAACAAAACCATCATTTCTGACAGTGCACGTCAAGAAACAGGGCAACGGTGTTTTCAGTACTGGGAAATGGGGCTGATTTTTGGGTCCGTCTCAGCCTAGCATTGTTTGTTTTGATCGGCAATGTCTCTTAAAGGTCTGAGGCAGAGGTTTTTCTAGTGGTGCTACTTGACTTTAAAATGGAGATGCCAGGGATTTAATATGAGACTGCATACATGCAAAAGCTTCACCACTATGCTTTCCTAAATGTGATGAAAGCAAAACACAAGACATCTTGGTTTTCTGTGTTCATTCTCTTGACAAGTGAGGAAGGCAGGGAAAATGGAAGAATGGCAACATATGAATATGGCATGATTTAAAGCCTGCTGGATAAGAAAATGAAACTTTTTATATGGATTCCTCTGGCAGTGGGTTGATTGTGCAATATCTTTTAATATAGATAGATATACCCGATTTTGTGGAGGCGTCCCTGGAGGTATTGATCAGCATCCCCCTTTGTTCTTAGGAAGTCTTTGAAAACATATTTTATTCCAACGAGCTTTTAATGTATAGCTTGTACTGCTATTTTAATTATGTATCTAAGAATCTAGAAATAACTAACCAACCCTTGTTTTTATCTTTTAGGTATGTGTTGGAAATAAAGTTCAATAATACTCAACTCCATCCAAAATAATGGCTGCCATTTTCTGTGAGAACTGTTCCTTTTCATATTTTCAACATGGCCAAGCCTCCCATCATTCTGAAGCTAGTGGAGCTCTTCTGCTCATCATGCTTGGGAAAGTCATGCTCAATCTATTTTTGTTACAAGTCCGAAAATCAAATCTCCGTGAGAGTTATATGGGCTATTTCTGCAATTCACTAGCCTTTGTTGACTTTGTGCTTCTAGCAACTATGTCCTTCATTGCCTGTTTTCAGGATTTCATGCTTTTAGGCGTCCGATTTACTGTGTATCATATCTGTCTTCTGGCTCAGATAGCAGCCCTTGCCTATGGAATCTTATTTTACCCAGTTTCTTTTGTAGCTGGTTTGGATTACTACCTTACAATAACCCAAACTTCCAAGCGTCCTAACGTGTGTTGGCGATCACTATACACAGTTGCTGTTGCCTTCACGTGGATTTCAGTTCTCTGTTATGTTCTGAATCTTCCAGGCAGCTCTATAGGACTTGAGGTAAGCCATTCCAATTCCAATTCTGCCTACCAGTGCCCTTTCTACACCAGCAGTCAGAGCTACTGGCTGACAGTAGGCATGCTGTTTATCATATGCCTGGTTCTTGTATTCTGTTGGTCAGAAGTTGTGGATATGGTGAAATCAATTCAACTAATTTCCATCGAGAGAGAGGTTGTTTTGTTCTTCCCTTACATGCCTGAGTGCAGCCTCAGAGACTCTGGGAAGCATTTTTTGACAAGACTTCTTATCTGCTTTATTGGCACTTGGGCACCATTTGTGCTCCTTCAAATGCTAATCCTGTTCCTTGGCGCAGAGATTCCTGCCTGCATAGAGATGAACGTTCCCTGGCTTTATTTTGCCAACAGCTTTATTATTGGAATGGCATTTTGGGTCAGGCGCCACCAGATTGAGATGACAGAAGAGACTTGGGATGTGGATCCATTCGTCAGCTGGAAGTTCTGCTTTGCCCCATTCAACTGCCAAGATGAAGAGAAAACTCAAAAGCCCACCACCCAAAGTTTAATCTGTTAGCAAGCGGCTGCGAGAGGTGAATATTGAGTTACCATAATAGCTTGGGGGAAGATTGTATTATTCTGCGACATTTGTAAACTTTTGTAGGTTTTTTTTTGGGAAGGGATCACCAATATGTGTATGTGAGTGGTGCTATAATGTAATTGTGTGCTGTTTACCAAGTTGGACTTCCAGTATGGGTGCTTACTTCAAAATAATGACAAATTACTGTCAAAGGTGCCCAACAGTGTTGTTTGTAATAATAATCAAATTCTGCCCTCATCTCATTCAAGGCTCTCAGATCCAGTGGAGGCTACCATGGACGGAAGGAGGCAGTTGTTGCAATTTCCACCTTTCTCTTGCAGCCCTCAATGCCACCTTCCCTGCTCCCATCAAATGCTGTCCCAAAGGTTTCCTCAACCCTTGGAACAGATTTGGGGGTGGGGGCAAGGGCTGCAGAAGGAAGGGGGAATAATAGAAAATTGCCTCCTAGTGCCCCTCCATGGAAGCCTCAACTGGATCAAAGAGCTTCTATGAATGGTTGGGAAAAACACCAATGGCTAAAATGTTTTGATTTGAAAGACAGTTAAATTGATCTTTTAATCCTTGATACCTGATGGGTGTGTGTTTTTATATGTTTTATTACAAATATTGTGTATGTGTGTTTTAAATTCTATTTTCCCTCTCTGGTTATTTGCAGGGGGTTATTGGGTTGTTCTTGCTTTTATTTTGATTATATATTTTGTGTTTTTATATTGTATAGGGTGGTATATAAATAAATATAAATAATTTTATTACACAGTGTTTGAGCAACATACTTGAAATAAAGTAATCAGTGGCTGTCACTCTTCCCTCAATGTGAAAAAAGACATCAAACTAGACAAATGGAAGTAGCTTTTATTTCTGCAGCACTGGTATTCACACTTTCAATGTAAAGTTCAACTATAAACCAAGTTGGTGATGCTGTAGGTCAAATATTTAACCCCACAGGAAGCAAATATTACCACATAAGAATGCTCAATTTAAAAAAAAGTGTGTGCCAATAACAAAAGGTGCAATTACAAGCAAATTGAAGCAGCAATAGTATAAGGTGCTTTGATTCATCCTTTGTATAATCTGATTATTCATGGACAGATTTAATAACAAGTAAATTTTACATCACTCCTACAGACCATAACAAATATGAGAATCTAAAATTCATCCACATGCTATGTAAATATGAAAGTGCTTTTTATATAAAAAGGATACATATAGATCAATTTTTACCGAAATCACTGTGTGGCTTATTCTTTAAATGTAAAAATGATACAGCTTAATTAGGGGAAGGATAATTTTTCAAAACTTTCACTGGAAACAATGAAAGTGCCAAATTGTTGCTACATATGCTTAAACCACTTGTTTAGGAAAATCGAAGTACCATTCCATGATACAAACACAGACGTACATATATTATTATTATTTATCGAATTTATATACCGCCCTGTACCAAGAGGTCTCAGGGTGGCTCACAGAATAAAATCAAAATATAAAACCACAAAATACATAATCAAAATAAAAGCAACAACCCAATAACCCCCCCCCAAAAAAACCCCACATTTTAAAAGGGCATAGGATGTCAATCAAATCAACCAAAGGCCTGGTTAAAAAGGAACATTTTTACCTTGCGCCTAAAGATGTATAATGAAGGTGCCAGGCGAACTTCCCTGGAGAGAACATTCCACAGATGGGGAGCCAATGCAGAGAAGGCCTGTTCTTGTGTTGCCACCCTCTGGGCCTCTCGAGGAGGCACATAAGGAAGTGTGATTAATTTTACACAAATTTATATGCAAATATACTCAAAGTCCCATTGTCTCTCAACCTCACACAAATTTGCTAATTCCCCACATAACCCTTGTCTCTGTGTTGGCTTTCATAGATGTAACAAAAGAGAAGAGAGGGAGAAATTACCCTGGATAAATACAAAAATGGGATTCAGAACATAAAGAATTTAGTTTACAAGCTTATAAATTGTAGTTAAGTACTTTATCTGCTTAAACAGCATTTTCAGATATTAGTGCAATAGAAGAGGCAGTAAAGTTAAGATTATGTTTCATCTATTTACTGGTTCCCATAACAGGAAAGGGTAAAGAACACAAAATGGTCATTTTTCAGAGTCAGAAATGTTTAAGGCCATAGGGCCAATTTTCTCCTATTGGTTTTTTTGGAGGGCACGGTACTTTTGTCAATCTATATAACTAGACACCCATAGAGAGGAATTATTAACATATTTATAAACCCAACAGATTTATGAAAGGGCAGTATAACAGAGGTACTCTAGCATCAGATGTTTTAAAAGACCATGGATATGAACAAAAAATCCAGAAGTATGTGGAAGAAATATTTCCTAATACAAATGAGATTATATATATAATAAAGAGTTAATATATGTATTCAGGTTTTCCCCAATGGCACTGATTCCAGATGATCTTGCTTAATTAAGGTGCCAGTTTGAACATATTGATCCTGGCATCAGAAAACCATATTTAGCTGGAACAAACATTGGGCCAACATTCTCCCCCTTCCTCAAACTGCATGCCAACTTTAGTACTTTGATCATAGGATCTTTAATCACAAATTCCCATAAGGTCTGAAATGGGGAAGTATTATTGTAATGTCAGTTTGCTAACAAAGATCTAAAACCACAGGAAAAAGTCGAGAAAGGCTAAGGCTACTTAGGGGACAGCTCGTAGACCACTTACATGGGGTTCTTTTATCTTTTAGTTGTTAGGACACAACAAAGGTTGAAATCTTGTGCTATATGAGGCTTTCATTTACTATAACAGACTAGCTTCAGACACACGCAGGGAACTTTCTCCTACTATTGCAAACAATCTGTTTTTTATGCCTTCATTAGAATCATATTTACTGAAATGTAAACTGTTCATGTTTACTTAGATTTCACTGATAACATCAGAAAGAACATATTTTAGAGCAAGCATTTTTTATTTAAAAAATTACATGCAAATGTTATGGGAAGAATATGTCAATTTGCATTTCAGGAGTGAATATTTACTTTACAGATTTGTGTGAAGAGATAATAACACTGGTGATGAAATATGATGTAAGCTGCTTGTTTATAACTAACTTAGTGCTGCAAGGGAGCTGCAGTTTAAGGGACAGTTCCATCCTGTTAGAGAAAATGAAGGATGTGAAGTAACTTCCATCAAAACTGCACCCAGGACTTGCTTTGCCACCACTCCATTGCTAATGTCCTTTCGCCATTCTCCTAAAATACTGCCTGAGTCAAGTATGACACTTCTCTTCTCCATATACAATAGCTTTAGCCAAGATTTGTTAGTCTGTGTTTAAACCCCTCACATGTCCTTACTCCCAGGATCATGTCAGCAGGCATTGATCCTTGGCTATCTTAACTGCCCAACAAGAAGGTGATCCCATGGAGTTACTCAAACGTAACAAGCGTCACTTGGTGCATCACTGATGGGGAGATTATGCAGGTGAATCATCAAATGATTCTCAAACACTGAAAGACACTTGAGCCCTCACTCTGGCTCATGTCCTTAATTTTGTTTTAAATATATCAAAAGGCAGTTTTCTATGCCCTTTTCCTGCAGATGACTCCATCACATATACCTGATGCATATTTACATTGCACACTTGTGAAGTCTACTGTCAAGTCTCCATGGCTGTTTACAATCATGGGATTTTAGCCCACGTCAATACAAAAAGGTCGAACACTGTGACAAGCGATGAGGGGTGGCTGCTGCTACTACTACTATTACATCTGGCGCCATTTGACATTTCTATTCCTATTACAGCTTGGTATATGGAAAATAGCCATCTAATGTAAAAGTGTTCTGGAGTGTCAGGAGTATAATTTTGTGCAGTCTGTGCCTGAAACCCACATGGGAAATATGCGTTGTTCTTGTGCAGATGCTTGCTAATCTATGAGGAAGACCTGAGGTGTGGCCAACTCAGGTGGCACAGTCTATAAATGATAAGATTGCCCAGAATAGTAGTGCAACTTTCTGTGTGACTTGGTACATGCATCCCCCAAACACCTTCAAGCAAACTGTTTCTTGTAGTTCCCATAAGATTCTAAACCTCGCAACTAACAGTGACTGGACACAGCCCAAGTACGACTCAGATTTCTAACTTCTATAAATGCCATCACTTGACTAGAATCAAGGATGTGATCCAAAGAGGCAGGGGATTTTATTAAAAGGAGAAGAAAACATTGTATTTACCTTAGGACTAAAATTTAAAATACTCCATACTAAGCCTGTAGCTTCAGTAAATAGTCCCCAAACTATCAATGCAACCAATCAAACAAACAACCAATGCAAATTACCACTTCCCATTTCACATCCTGTTCTTTTAGAAGCTGTACTTGAGTACAAAATGTAAAGTGAGAATTAGCCCTGAAATGCTGACGCTGATAATGGTGCTGATAACTGCAAGCAAATAATGTGCTTCCACTTGTTGCTGTATTCACACAAGCACTGAAGATCACTTTTAACAAGCCTTGTGCAATTATTTCTGGGCATCCCCTAAATGCTACAAGCACTACTAAAGGAATCTGAAATCCAAGTGCTATTCCTAACTGGAGGGCAGGATTGAAGCTCAATACCATGTAGTCCATACATGTCCATGTTGCTCCATACAGTGTTAAAATGTCTTCAAGAACACACACCTGCCCCCTTACAAATTAGCCATCTTAAAGAATAAATACTAATTATATCCACATCATGATGAGTAACACTTAAAGGCAAACTGAAACGAATTCATCCACTCAGGGCCCAAACTAGCCTATTATATCAAGCTATGAAAACCACTTTAGTTTCTCACTTGATCATGCTCCTTTTCATGCTGCTAGGAATCAGTGTTTTAGAGTGGCAATTCCCAAACTCTGGGAACTTCCTGCCCATTGCCTTTAGGCAGGTGCCTACACTGCCTCTTTTCAGAGCCTAAAAACTTTTCTGTTTAAGGAAGCCTACCTAGACATGCAAAGTTGATGTGTATTTTAATCAGTAATTCTAGCTCATAACGTATATTTTTAACTCCTTAGTTATAATTTGATTTTTTAAAAAAAGAATTATTTTAAGCCTTACCTTTATTAACTAATTAGTGTATAATTCTGTAACCTGCTTAGGGGTTTCTTTTATAATTAAGAGGTATACAAACTTGGTTAAATTAAGGGGTAAACTCCAGTGCATACACAGGAATGGCTTGTGAAACATTGCCTTCTATGGTGGGCGGGGGCAGGGATAGGAATGCTATTGCCATAAAGAGACAAGCTGAGTTGTAGGGGATGAACAAGGAGGAGATGATGTGCTTTCTTTATCTGTCCCAAAGTCTAACTTTACTGTCCCAAGGTCAATGCTGAGAGCAAAAGGCACTGCCTTTTGACAAGAACCAGTCTGCTTTTGCATAATACAGAAACTTCTCTGTATAGCTTTTGCAATTAGTTCAGTGTGGCAATTGTATCAGCTGCTACTGCCAGGGGTGGTGGTGCTATGACAGCAGCTTGCCACAGCACCAGTCTTCTTTGCCGCTCTGTTTGGTCTGCCACCATTGCCACAGCCTGAGTGGGAGGGGAGAGAAAGGAACCCATCAAACTGATAGGCTGACATATTAGGATAAGGTAAGCGCCTGGTTCGTTGAGCAATACATCTCGCTGGACAAACTGGTTTGTTGGAGACAGCTCGAACAAATGTTTCTATTCAGGGCAGAATTATCTGTGCTTCTGTTCTTACTTTTTATCCTCAGGCCCACAGTACTTTAATATACTATATTATTCTATAATTATTGTCAGCATTCTCTGTGAACCTATACATAGTGCAGCTAATGAAAGTAACTGAGCATTTGGTATAATTTATATAATGTTTATGTAATAATCACTCAGCCATGGATTTTGTGCTCTATTTATAATTACAGGAGATGTAACATTGTTCCAGTTCCCAGATGCTTAAAATAAGAGACTTAAAATAAAAATAAAATAATAAGAATAGCAATTTACAAAACAAAATAAGCTTTGTGTAGCACTCAGTTAAATTGAAATATTTTGATTCATATGATTTACAGCCCAGTACACATTTACTGAGAACTGTCACACAGAATTAAAATGGGACTTACTCCCACATAAGTACGCATCATACTTCAGCCTTAATCTCTGGGAAGTAAATGAGACTAAAATGGCTCAAATGCTCCCCACCTAAATCCCATGTGAGTAGGACTGAACAACTAATGTCTGTCCATCCTCCAAAATGTGGCAGAAAGCTCTTAATTCTGAAATCCTTCTGTTGTGCTTTCTCAAAAAAACACCTTTACCAGTTTTCTGAACTTACAGTTACCAATACTATTTAGGCAAAGAACCAGTTTAGTTAGCTGTTCACAACTACTATTTCCGTAAAGAACCAGACCATATGATTTGGAGGCAGCTTTAACTACTTGGCATCCTACAACATGTTTGCATGTTTCATATGCAAAAGAATCTATGCGCAGTAAATACGAGGAGTTGGAGAATGATTAATACTTTGTAATTTTCAAACCTTTACCATAGGCACCTGTAAATGTTTGGTAGCTCTCCTTAACACTATAAAGAATTTACTTACTTTGAGCTTCTGATAATAATAAACGGATTAATTGTTGAAGGTTAACGATAATACAGTAACTTTCGGAACGCATTCCTAAATTTGAGATTAAAAAAACCCAGTAGGGCTAAAACCAGTAGTCTTAAGTAATTTTGCTAATTAAACCACCCTTAAATTAACAGATACAGTGTTAATGCCCAATAAAACAAACAACTTTTTACCAGGCCGCAAGCCCTTGTGGAAGATTCACATTCAGTTAAATGATGATCACAATCTATAAGACATTTCTTTTGAACAAGCTCTATTAAAATGAACAGAGATCCCTTAGTCTTATGACACACTCATTCATGTTAGTGGGTCTGGCTTAGGAGAAATACTCAGTGAACTGGGCCCCATTTCACTGAAGCATGCTAACTTAATGGTGGGGTAGAAGATCTTCCAAAGAATGATTCAAACTCCTACTCAGATATAGAGGACAAACTTCTGAACACTTACTCTTAATACTTTGGTGCCATTGGTTTAGGGTCCTTGCTGTAACATGAATAACTGCTGCAGATAACACTGGGCTGCGAGGAAATGTTACAAAGAAAAACCATTGTGATTTCAAAAAGTGCTTATTCCCTATGGAGAGGGAAGAACAACGTCCCCAGCAGCGTCCACCAGAACACCTGCAAATGGAGAGGCGAGAGAACTATAGAAAGAAAGCGAAGTCTAGAAACGTCTGCTGATCCAATTTGCCCTTGAGAATTATTCAATAATTCGGAGTTGCACACCAGCGTACGGGCAACACATTTCCATTGAACAGGTGTACATTAACTCCTTTGGTCTAAACCAGCAAGAAGAAGAAGAAGAAAAACCAGAACAATAACAACATAATGCCCTCTTCAGTGCATAGCAGCATACAAATAATCATTGTCATCATGTATGTGCTTTTTACTACCGTCTGGGAAGTGTGTGCCACACCGCCGTTCCAGCTCTCAGCAGTTTTGCCACTATGTGCATCACACCTAACTGTACAACTTCATTTATCAAGAATACCCCCCCACCCCTTCCCCCATCCCCCCCAAAAACATTCATAGGTTTGTACACGAGAGGGATGCTTATGCTGACATGGAATTCAAGTGACCAAGGTTCTGACAGTGGAAGGTATACTGCATTTACAAAATATCTTGCATGTTCACAGAAAAGCTTCAGCACTTAAAAGAGAATACTACAGTGGTGGGGCAGCTGTAGGGTTATGAGAGAAGAGGAAGTCAGTTGCAAGTTCCCTTCAAACTATACGCTCAGGATTAATTGAAACTCAAAAGAGCACAATTAAATGCATAGCATTTTACCATAATCAGTGCTTCCACAGACTCTGTGGACTCTTCTGTTAATCCATATTCTTAAAAAGCTTTCTACAAAGGAAAAAGTGTATAGAAACACAATTTGAAACTGTAATCAAGGTTATATCAAGGTTACATTTTCTAAAAAAAGCTTAAATCTTGAATGTTAAATAATCACCTTTTTGGAATAAGCATCACTCGCAACATCTTACAGAAGCCTCATAGAGCTTTCCACTGACTCTCCTTGCCCTGCATTTGACTACAACAACTTGCCAACACAGCTTATGCTTCCTGATAAGCTGGATAACTACTGGAAGGTTTGGAAGATTACATGAGATATGCTCCTCCAACAGTCTTTATGTGGAAAAGGATGCTTAGCAAAACACAGCAGTAATAATCACATCAAACGTTAAGATGCTGTTTTATTACAAGTCTGTCATATGATGGAAGCTGTGATTTAAAGCCTTATTTTCCACTAGGATTCCTTCAAGGAGTTGATTCGTGCACAGATTTTCAGTGCAGGTCCTAGCTTAATATTCATTGCACTCATGAGATGATCCTCTTTTAATAAGAGGAGAGCCTGCCCATCAATCTCCTGGGCTCGAAATTCATCGGCAATATCTTGGCAACCTGCAAAGAAATGACAATTATTAATTTAAAAATAGGCATTGTGATCTCGAAATAAGATTTCCTCTCCCAAAGCTTGGCTTAATGACTTCCACTTTTATCTAAATCTTGCCTATAATTCCATCCTTGTTTGCATTATTGTTGGTAGAAAAGAGTGCACATTCTCAAGGGTTCCAGCTCCTCATAAACCTGGGCCTTCTCTTTCTACTGTTGTAAAACCACTGAAATATTGCAGCAGACACTTCCTGTTCCTTCACATCTCTGCCTGCTCTGAAATAATAATAAAAAAATCCTTCCAGTAGCACCTTAGAGACCAACTAAGTTTGTTATTGGTATGAGCTTTCGTGTGCCATGCACACTTCTTCAGATACACTGAAACAGAAGTCACCAGACCCTTATACATAGTGAGAGGGTGGAGAGCGGTATTACTCAGAAGGGTGGTGGGAATGGGGGATTGGCTGATAGGTGTGGTAATCCTGTTAACAACTGCTATTGGTCTTACAGGAAAAAGCAAGGGGTGAGATGGCTAAAAATAGCTTTATCATATATAAAGAGATAAGAAATAGACCTGAAATGCTCTGAAATAGACCATTTATGTCTTCTGGGGTGGGAAACACTAATATTTTACTTCAGATGAGACACAGGTGCAACAGAACAGGATTCACGTAACACTGTAATGTCCGAAACGTTCACAGATTACAGCTTGATCTTTGAGAATAGGAACCAATGCACAGACCACAACACAAGGATGGGGGGGGGGCTCTTCCTCCTGCTTGGTGGTGTGAATTAGCCCTGTTGACTGGAGACTTCTTGGCAGTGGAGCGTGGGTGAAACTGGGTCTCTCTCAAGATCCTAGCCCAGGGGTCTGCAACCCGCGGCTCCGGAGCTGCATGTGGCTCTTTTACACCTTTGCTGCGGCTCCGGGGCGGATACTAGCGAGGGGAGCATTGTGCACCCCGACACTCCCCACTGTGGCAGGCGCTGTACTGGCTGTGACATCACATGGGGGTGGTGCCTGCATTAGTCACGCACCGTCCCAACGTCACCTTCCCGCCCGCCCGCTACATTGTAAGGGGCATGTATGCTGGTCACTGTTTTGAAGGGGAGTGAAGAACACACACACACAAAAAGGTAACTTGTTAATTTAACGTTTATTTCTATGAGGAGGAGTAATTCTGAGGGGTCAAACAAAGAAATAATTTTTAAAAAGTGACAAAAAAGTTATGTTTATAATGACGAGTTTTGCGGCTCCCAGGTTTTTTTTCCTTCGGAAACGGGTCCAAGTGGCTCTTTTTGTCTTAAAGGTTGCAGACCCTTGTCCTAGCCGCTACCTAAGCAAACACATTCAGCCAATGCAGTGTTATTTAAACAAGAGATACCTGGGATGTTTAAAAGGAAATCAGGGTTCAGCTGAATAGGGAGGTGTTACCACACTATTGAAGCATAAACCTCTCACTACACAACAGCCTCAATGATGTACCAAGGGATACTGAACAATGCCATAGTGATTATGAAACAGTACTGGTGGACATACTAAGGTGTGTGGAAGCAAAGATTTAAGAACTGAAAATAAACCAGCTATTTTGAAAACTGTCACAACAGTTTCCATCTGAGTAGTTTTAAGTGGCTGCGAGGGAAAAGGCCTACTTAGTGGTGGCACCCTGACTGTGGCAGGCTCACCTGGGACCTACCCTGATGTCATTTTGGGACTAGGCAAATGTCTTTTTTATTTTTCCAGTTTTTAAAAACGTAACTGTTCCCCCCTGTAAATCACCTTAATGTTTGCATTTAATTTGTTTGGACTGAGATTTTATTTTGTTTTTGGTAAGCCTGAGAACTTGTTGGAAGTCACCATATAAATCCCGAAACCCCTCTCTGCTGCCAAGGATTCTGAAAGTAAACTCTAGAAGCACAAGAGGAAATAGGTGCGATATTAATCCTGTTTCTTTGCAACCCAAACCAGCTCTCCTACGCCTCCTCTGCCTCTCCCCTCAAAAGTAGTAATATTGCCATCGGACATTCTTAACAAACAAATGTGCTCCATCTCCATACCAGGCAAAGAATGTATGAAGGCCCAAACATCTTCCACAGTCCATCCGGATGGATCAGATTGTATCGCTGGTAACAAATCCATGTTGTCTGTTGTTTTCCTAATTCTCAGTTCCCTAAGTTCGCGCTCTCTTTCCCTTTCACTTTGCCTTCGCAAGCGAGTGGTCATGGCAACCGGTACATTGTCTTCCTGAGAAGCCAAGTCTTCTTCTGCAGATGGATAAGTAATTGGAAGCTGGAAAATGCAGTACAGATAAACCACAGTATAACCATTTTCCTTGATTAACTCTTACAAAAGGACACCGTGGAGTTTAGTTAGCATTCCACAGACCTGTCTAAGGAAGTGTTCCCTGGGAGCTCCATCAGAGCTGCTTGGCCGTCGCCCGCGTCGCCCAAGGCTCCGGCTCCAACGACTGCTTTTGTCTGAGCCATATAATCCAAATTTCTTACTGCAGCTGACGTTGTACCTAAAAATTTAAAAAAATTAAACACTCTGAAAAATTGCTTCTGGGAGTAGAATGTCAATGCTCAGTGAGAACTAACTTTTTCTAAAAAAAGCAATAGAGCCTTTGGTTCCATAATGCAAGAAGGAAATAAATATCATAAACAAATAATTGTTTTCTTATCAAAACTGGTCAAAGTCCATCAATTCATAGTTTAAAATAAATGTTACTTCCCTAAATGTTCTGAGTTAACTGTATCTAATGAGTTCAAGATATTTTAGTTTACTACTACTTGTGGTTTTATATGATTACACCTGCAGTTCTTTGGCCCCTAGGAGGGTGAGCCAAGGGTAATAGGAAGTATCAGATCTTCTCTGAGGGTGGGGAGAGTTCTGACTTCAGATTCAGATTCCCCTCCATGTCAGATTCCCCTCCTCCTCCTTTCATTACCTCTACAGTCCATACCCTACCAGTGTTGGAGCTCTGATACAGGTGCAGCTGAAAATGGGACATACCAGAGGAGGACTGAAGTATGACAGGGGCAAATCCAGGGATCAAGTGTCCAAAACTACCCCCATCATTCCACATATCCATGACCCACACCAAAAATAATTTCTGCCCAGGGGCTAGAATAGTTCAGTACTGTTTCTTTCCCTCCATTCCAAAGTTCCAACTATGTGCTGCACGAAGAAATACCGTATTTTTCGCTCTATAAGACGCACCTAGTTTTTAGAGGAGGAAAACTAGAAACAAGAAAGCAACGCAAAGCCTCTTGAGCGAAGAGGCAGGAGCAGGTGCGCACCAATCCCTCTTGCTCTCCTGGCTTCAGCGATAGCTGCGCAGTCTGCATTCGCTCCATAAGACGCACACACATTTCTCCTTACTTTTTAGGAGGGGGAAGTACGTCTTACAGAGCGAAGAATACGGTACTTTCTTTTATCTGTCTTGAATTTTTCAACATTCAGCTTCACTGGAGGCTCATGAGCTCTGCTATTATGAGACGGGGGGAAACTTTTCTCTATCCACTTTTTCCATGAGCTGCTGGTGATTGTGTTGTTAATTTCTTTACATTGCTTTTAGAGCACAATAAGTAGCATGTTTGGGGTTAATTGGTTTTTTTAAAACAACAACAACAGCAACAACAACAACAACTACTATGATAAATGTTTTAATCAATCATACTGATAAATTGGGGTCTTATTTCCATAAGTGGTGAAACTGCAGTAAGAATGAATTCCTTTGGTAATTAATTATGATTAAAGTATCTGTAATTACAGGTCAAGCGGTACCCTGTGACCCCAAATGTAAGCTTGTTTATCGATTATTTGAAAGACTTAATGTTTAAAGAAGTGTTAATCCTTTTTATGACTGAAGCCAGACAAGTTATAGCAAGGCACTGGAAAACATCTGCTAATTTGACCCTGGAGACTTGGCTGGAAAGGGCATGGAACGGTGCTCTTATGGAAAAGTCATCAGAGCAACTTACAGCTCTAAAAAACACGAGAGCTAAGGATGGTTTTGGAGAAACATGGTACATGTTTATTCAGCACGTCAGAAGAGACAGTACAATAACAAAACCACCAGCAACGCATGGCTCTCTCTGGAGCAACTTGTTAAGGTAAGAATAGAAAACAATGCCCAACAATCACAACTGTCCAAAATCCAACACGTGAAATTCACTGTAACGTATTTTGGGAGAGAAGGGAAATGGAAATTTGTGTTACATGCTTCATAAACTTGTAGTTTTTTAATACAGTAGACCAGGGGTCTGCAAACTTTTTCAGCAGGGGGCTGGTCCACTGTCCCTCAGACCTTGTGGGGGGCCGGACTACATTTTGAAAGGGGGGGGGAGAACAAGTTCCTATGCCCCGCAAATAACGCAGAGATGCATTTTAAATAAAGAAACACATTCTACTCATGTAAAAACATGCTGATTCCCAGACCGTCCATGGGCCGGATTTAGAAGGTGATTGGGCCGGATCCATCCGTTGGGCCTTAGTTTGTCTACCCATGCAGTAGACTCTCAACTTACATGGGGTTTAAGTTCCAGGGATAGAGCATAAAGCCAAAATCGCACGTAGCAAAAACAACCCTTTAAAAACTGTAAAAAGCACAGTGCAGCACTCTCCAACCACCTCCATGCTCTCTTTGAAAGTGGTATGCACTCTTCCCAAGGATGCTGTAGACTTTCCCTGCATCTCTGGATGCTCTCCCAGGGTGAGTGCAGTGGCAGGTGGGATTGTCAATGTTCCCCAGCCCACTCTCCTTTCCCCTTCCAATGTTTTTCTCCTCTCTCCTGACCCCACTTTTTCCAGCCAAAAGTGCAAAACTGTGATTGTGCAAGTTAAATATGTGTAAATTGCAAGTTGACTATATTTTTGAAAATGCAAAAATAAAGCTTATTTTAAAAAACATACTGATAAACACCACTAGCAAAACTGGAACAAAGAGTCACTAGGCGGGGTAAATCCTATGCTGGGGTCTCACTGAACTATTTGGTTCGTAAGATTTTGATCCCAAATCCAGCACTATGTTTAAAAAGCAGGCCTATACACAATTTTTGGAATATTTGAAATTATAACTAATGAAGAATACCTCTTGGCACAGGACATGGTGCAGAATCGCTTTGACCGCAGAAACTTATTTGCATATCCCATTTTCCCACAAAACTCGCACTTGAGGAGATCCGTTTCCATCTCATCCAGCCCCTCTAAAGGGAAACAGCAACATAAATTCAGTCAGTCTGAGCCACTCAGTTATAAAAACATTTTCAAAAGTCCGACAGAAGCTGTGATGACCTGTCAAAGAAAAGATACTCCAAACCGTATTGCCAAGAGAAACGGTATTTGATGGCTTGTATACATGATGTAGGGACGCGGGTGGCGCTGTGGGTTAAACCACAAAGCCTAGGACTTGCTGATCAGAAGGTCGGCGGTTCAAATCCCCGTGACGGGGTGAGCTCCTGTTGCTCGGTCCCTGCTCCTGCCAACCTAGCAGTTTGAAAGCACATCAAAGTGCAAGTAGATAAATAGGTACCGCTCCGGCGGAAAGGAAAACGGCGTTTCCGTGCGCTGCTCTGGTTCGCCAGAAGCGGCTTAGTCATGCTGGCCACATGACCCAGAAGCTGTACACTGGCTCCCTCGGCCAATAAAGCAAGATGAGCGCTCCAACCCCAGAGTCGGTCATGACTGGACCTAATGGTCAGGGGTCCTTTTACCTTTACCTTATAAATTAATTTAGATCAAGCGAGTTTGTCTGTAAACATACTTATTTTGCATAATTTAACGAACATTTAAAAGTGCCTGAAGCTGAGTCAGGTCCATTCAGCCCAACTGCTCTGACTAGCAAAGGATTGGATAGGCTGTAGACTGAACCTAGGATCTTCATGCAAAACATGCATTCTACCAGTGTGTTACCACCCAGAGCTCCAATGCAGCACAATGACCTTATGCAGGCAATGGGAAATTGAAAGCTAAGAACACAAAATTTGTCTTGCTAGATCAGGGATGGGGAACCACTGGCCCATGAGCCAATCCTGACCCACCGCGTCGGCCCATGAGGTCACCCTCCTGTCAAAAACGCCCCAGAACTGGATGAGCCAATTCTTTATCTGGTCCTTGGGATGAAAATGTTTTCCTCACTCCTGGCGCAGAACAAGTTGCCAACTGCTGCCTTTAAGCAAATTCATTGTTTGAGTAAATGTTGGCTGAACCGGTTAATTGTAGCATTTGATCACCAGGCTAGCACCACTTGTGAGTAAAGTCCAAACCAAAGAGAAAACAAGGATGCAAATACTTGAGACACCACTAAAGAACAGAAACAGAACAGAACAGAAACACTATTTCTTGGAGGTTCGTTGAAGAAAAGCGACTATTAAAACAGAAGTATTCAATCAATCAATCAATCAATCAAATAAATAAATAAATAAATAAATCCTATCGGAAAATATAATACATTCGTGTGGATTACAACAAGCACAACAAGGCTCATTGTTTGCAGTTCCTCCAATGTCTTTGTTAAGACTGAAACATAAGACTGAGAAATAACTGTAAGAGTGGGGTGCATAACAACATACGTATAAATTTTGGCACAAAACATGAGGAAATGCTTAACACAATGCTACTTTTTCATTTAAGAAAACATAATTTGAGAACTACTTGTCCTTTATGAGAAAGGCCACATGGAATTTTAGTCAAATAAAGTACAACAGTACAACGGGTGACCAACAGCTTATCTTGGAAATATAAGAGATTATTGCATCTTATTTTACTTTTGCTAAACACTACCTGCTGAACAGCTTCTGTAGTATAAAAGCTGTTAACTCTTTGAAATATCCAACAGCTGAACAAAAGGAACTGCTCAATGGCTTATCTGATGGTGTTTGCAAAATACGGAGGAATTTAACGACACAAAATGCTGCTTTTCAGTGGAATGAAAGCCGAACACCTGTAAATTCAGTTCCCTGTACAGACAGGAGTGGCTCTATGAAGATATTTCAGCATAAATCAGGTTATGTCATATTTTTGGCCTATGCTTGCCCTTTTGTTGTAGTGCTCTCCAACCCTATTTCTGCACCAAAGAGATTCACTTGGCTCAGTATATAAATTTGGAATCTCTCTTGTCTATGCTTGCTATTTCACCTGGGATTCTAGCCATGAAAATTCCCTATTGTCAGCTTGACGAAAAGGGGGAGGGCTTGTCTATAAATCAATGTAGGTCTTATGATGCAGCTTTGTCACGCTGGCCACGTGACCCGGAAAGTGTCTCCGGACAGCGCTGGCCCCCGGCCTATAGAGTGAGATGGGTGCACAACCCCAGAGTCTGTCAAGACTGGCCCGTACGGGCAGGGGTACCTTTACCTTTACCCTGACTGGAATCTGGCTGTGTACCACCAAAATTGCAATTATTTTACATAATGAAGCCTACTGTAATGCACAGTTGCCTGATCAAGCAAGGAAGGGAAGTCCATACATGCTGCTGATGTGTTATCATTTGAAGGGGATAAGGACATGCATCTGCAGTCAGGGATGTGACCTCCATGCAACAAAAAGGACAGCAGCTGGATCAGGTGCTAAAACATTTGTTTACAACTTCGGCATCCACACAAGATATGGCATTGGGTGACAACGTCTGGGAAACTCTCTTTCCTAACATACTGTATTATTCTGTGTATAAGACGCCCCCATGTATAAGACAACCCCTATTTTTTGAGCCCAAAATTAAGAAATAAATATGTTAAACACTAAACAGAACAACTTTGATATTTTATTAAATATTCAAAACACCGGTATATTTATTACCATATATTTAAACATCAAATGGTGACGCAAGCTGTGTAATGGCGGCTGCTCCTGTCAGCTCAGTGTAACTCCACTGTAGCTGCAGCTACAGCTCTCCCGCCTGTGTGTGGCACTTTTGTCTCAGTATTTACGGTATGTACCGTATTTACTCCACAAGCGCCGGCAGACGCGAACGCTGATCGAGGAGCTGCGATTACCAGAGCTGCCTGAGTGCGCTTAGGGAATGGGGGGGGTCTGGGTAGCCAGGGGGCGGCTGAGGGAACTGGGTGGAAGGGACAATGTCTGGAGTGGGGGCTGCTGGGGGGGGGAGAGTACCAAACCAGGGTTTTTCGTGAGGCCAATAGTGGGGGAGGCTGGGGGTGGGGTAAGAATATGGATGGCGGCATGTATTTATTTACATATTTAATTGCAGCATTCCGCTGTACAAGACAACCCCCAATTTTAAACTTTAAAAAATTGGGAGGAAATCTCGTCTTATACACGGAAAAATGTGGTAATTAGAAATCTCAGGAAACAGTCTCTGGCGGAAAAATAGAATAGGCTCAGGTTTCAGAAAATACAGTTGCTCAGCATATGTTAAATAAGATGCACAAACCTTCCGTAATTATATCCTCCAACTCCGTGTCTGAGGAGTTGTCTACGTGCTTTGCATTGTTCTGCAGCTCTGGCTCCACACACATAACGTTCATCGCCTGGCCCTCCACCAGCAGCCTCTTTTTTGCAGGCTGCTCAACTAGAAGAGAGGAGCAACTTACCTGTTACAAGAGAAAAGAAGAAGATCATGATACAAGAAAACAGTACACGTAACCTTGCAAGGTCAGGGCATGCATTCATTAGACTTATTGCTACACAGAGAGACAAAGAATAGGTCTGTGCCTTTTGTTGTCTACGGTCCAACTCTGAACCAACATAACAATCAAAACAGATGAAATGAGAATGGAAGAATGAGAAGAGAAGCAAAGAAATCTATTTTTCATTTGAAATAAATAGTTGCTTATTTTAGACTTCTACTTGTGGCTTCGGAAATCTCAAAACATAAGGGAAAGTATCAAAAGAAGACACCACAGAAAATATATATGCTATTTTCAATTCATCCAATGCCTGTTATATCAAAAATATCTTCCCACTCCTTTCCTGATAGATTACCTTCCATTGTCTTGCATTGTCTATTTTCTGTCTTTAAATGTGTACAAAGGAAAGAAAAGAGACTCAGGAAGATAATCTGCCTGCTATGAAGGTAGAAGAATTCTGCTGAATATTATACGTGGAGCTGACTCTAAAGGATGTAGCACCAATCCTGGCCCAACTGCACTGGCTGCTATTTAGCTTCTGCATCCATTTCAAAGTGATGGTTTTGACCTATGATATCTTACGCTACTCAGGATGCCAATAGCTCATATGAACAGACCCAGTGATCTGTGATGAGGCCTTCCCAGAGAACGGGCCTTTTCTGTGGTGGCTCCCCATTTGTGGAACGCTGTCCCCAGGGAAATAAGTTTAGGCAAAAGCATTCCTCTTCAACCAGGCCTGCAGCTGTTAATCAACCTATAGCCTTTTCAAGGGGGAGGTGGGGACGATGACACAGTATATAAATATAATAATAATAATAATAATAATAATATAAAAATGGCTTGGAATCTATCTACAAGTATCTATCTATCCTCTTTGCTTATTCTTTCCTCTCTGAAGTTCAATAGATGGACTGAACGTAAGTTGTATTTAACAGTTGACAACAATAACAGCGTGGTATAGGCAAAAAAACTGCCCATTCAGGGTCAGCCTATCCAGAAGTGAATCCATTTAGAAGATTGTGGCAGGATTTGGATTGGGTAAATCAGTCTATTTCTAGTCCATGACCGTTTTGCATGTTTTGGCATCAATTACAGTACTGGTTCATCTTTCCTTTAATGGTTGCCCCCAAGGAAGAGTCAATTGACTCAGAAGGTCTTGGGACGAATACATAATCTCATCTACCTTTGAGCTCTCCTCTCTACATCCTGACATCAGATGCCTTCCCATTCCCTGCCCCCTTTTTCATACTGAGTCAACACATTGGTCCAGTGAACCCTGAATTACATAATCTGAAGGGCAGGGGTCTTTTGCGACTCATGCAGAGGGCCTTCCTAGCTCTGCTACTTTATGTTCAGAATTGCAGGGAGGCAACACATCTAAACCAAGAAAAAACAGACCCCATTGACCACAGTGAAAGAGTTCCTAATAAGCTATTTGACAGACAGCAGTTACTAGAATTAAGTTATTTGGAGTGAAAAGCTTTAGAGAAGCAATAGCCCCAAATAACCACAACACATTGCCTCCTAAATCAAACCAACCAACCAACAAGATACAAATATGGCTCAACATTGCACACTTACAGGAAATGGCTCTAACCCCTCTTGGATCACAAAGCCCTCAATAACATGGGTCAGGATTTGTGGCTTAACGATAGCCTGTGGAGGTTTGTTTTCTATGCTAGGGTTCTTATGAGACACTGATGCGCTGTTACTCCTTGTTGGGATTGCTGGAAGCAAAAGAGGTGGTTGTGGAACAGAGGCATGCGAAGGGTCTGATGGTGATTTAATTACAGAAGCGCTAACTGATGAGGCCATTGAGGGATGTCCGTCTTGTTCTGGAAAAAAAGTATTATTATTTTTAAAAAACAACTCAAGCATTATTTACATTCACGGCTTCACCACTACAGAATTCCTTCCTAATTCTTGTTTCTTCTACTGACAAATTGCCAAAGTAATTTGGTCTTTTTGTCCAGTGCGCTCTTATCTTAGATAAGAGCCTACCAGTATCACAGATGCACTGTTGGGAGTGGGAACTGCACAACATAGCAATTTGAATAATGTGATTTATCACAATATTGTTTAACTAGCACAGAAATCCAGTTCCACTGGCATGAAATTTATTGGTGCAAGGAGGACAATATGCTAGCAGCCTGTTGTGCATAATAATTATCCTTCTTTCTTGCCTAAAGCATTTTTCTAGTCCATTAAACATTATTGTAACATTAAAGGAATCACACTCATATTTTTATTTTTAATAAGCAGAAGATAAATTGTATAACCTAATTTGTGTACATGCTGAGAAATTGAGAAACAACCAGCAAGCATGCCTCTTCTATGTTTCTGTTCCTTAACTATCACTGCTACTTGTTCAATTCTATGGTCCATCTTGCCCAATATTCTGCCTGTGACATATTCCATTTCTGAATACTTCTGAGGAAATGCACACCAATGACAGTTTACCTATAGCTAAATAGCTACTGACATTCTTGTCTTCTGTTATCTTGTGTTGACGGAGGTTAACAGAAGTGACCAGCAATTGTGAAGCCTGGCTTTGTGACATTGCATTTTTTAAAAAATGGGAACTAACCGAATTATACCCAGTTAAGCAAAGTGCATTGGTGCTTTTCACCAAATCTGATGAATCTGCGGCCTGGGATGGGGCCTGGAATGCAATGTAAGGTGTGGGGGGTTAAAATGCAATGATTATTGAGTGACACCTATTGCCATGTTTTAAGATAGCTGGTTGCAGACATCTGGCTTACAGATGTTAGAGACGGGTAGCTCTAGAGATCTGGGGATCTTAGGGCGGATGAACATTGCTAGTCATTGCCTCTGAGCAAGCAGCAAAAAAAACCCGCATTAGGCAAAAGACTCAATCCTACATCCACCTCAAGTCAATAATGCCTGGCTTTGGGGTCTGTGAAACCCTAAGAGGCTGCCCCTGCACCTCTCCCCAATTCCACAATCATGTCAGCCATTGGTTGTACCTCAGTGGCTATGTGGCTGCTCACTTATGCTTCCCCTCATATAGAAACTGTTTAGCTCCTTCCTCTTCTGTTCCTACTGATGTTGGATCTGCCTGGCTTCCTCATGTCTGCCTACTATAATAGGCCCTTGAATTCTCTCTTTTTCCTTCAGGGGTCTGAGCTGCAGAAGCACATGTGCAAAAAAAGCAGAGGCTCTTGCCGTTTCCTTCTGCCTTAAGCTACAAACCAGCAGGCTGCCTGCTGCTAAGGTGAACTAGTTGGCGGGTGATCAGTTTCCCCCCTGTCCTCTCCCCACCTTGAATCTAAATTGGTTTCAGCAATCTGCTGAATCCAAGACACAATTCAGACATTCAAGTATACTGGGTGAGAGTCTATCCCTTTATCTTGCAGCACAATCAAAACTGCACAAAGAAAAAGACACGGACACCACACCGGAATCTGCCCTAAATACCGTATTTTTCGCACCATAGGGCGCACCGGACCATAGGGCGCACCCAGTTTTTAGGGGGGGAAATCAAGAAAAAAATCTTTTCCCCCCCCCAGCCCCAAAGAGCAGCGTACAGGGTGCGCACAACTTCTCCCTGCCGGAGGGGTTGCGCGCAGCTATGCAGCAAGCCAAGTTTTGGCTTCCCCTTTAGCCCCATGCAGCCTCTCCTTGCCGGGAGACGCTGCGCAGGGCTAAAGAAGCCATAGCCCCGTGCAGCCTCTCCTTGCGGGGGGTTGCGCGCAGCTATGGAAGAAGGCAAGGCAGCGAGCGGGATGGATCCCACTCGCTGTTTTACCTTCCCCTTTAGCCGCGCGCAGCCTCTCCTTGCGGAGGGGTTGCGCGCAGCTATAGAAGAAGGCAAGGCAGCGAGCGGGATGGATCCCGCTCGCTGTTTTGCCTTCCCCTTTAGCCGCGCGCAGCGTCTCCTTGCGGAGGGGTTGCGCGCAGCTATGGAAGAAGGCAAGGCAGCGAGCGGGATGGATCCCGCTCGCTGTTTTGCCTTCCCCTTTAGCCGCGCGCAGCGTCTCCTTGCGGGGGGTTGCGCGCAGCTATGGAAGAAGGCAAGGCAGCGAGCGGGATGGATCCCGCTCGCTGTTTTGCCTTCCCCTTTAGCCGCGCGCAGCGTCTCCTTGCGGGGGGTTGCGCGCAGCTATGGAAGAAGGCAAGGCAGCGAGCGGGATGGATCCCGCTCGCTGTTTTGCCTTCCCCTTTAGCCGCGCACAGCGTCTCCTTGCGGGGGTTGCGCGCAGCTATGGAAGAAGGCAAGGCAGCGAGCGGGATGGATCCCGCTCGCTGTTTTGCCTTCCCCTTTAGCCCCGCGCAGCGTCTCCTTGCGGAGGGGTTGCGCGCAGCTATGGAAGAAGGCAAGGCAGCGAGCGGGATGGATCCCGCTCGTTGTTTTGCCTTCCCCTTTAGCCGCGCGCAGCGTCTCCTTGCGGAGGGGTTGCGCGCAGCTATGGAAGAAGGCAAGGCAGCAAGCGGGATGGATCCCGCTCGCTGTTTTGCCTTCCCCTTTAGCCGCGCGCAACGTCTCCTTGCGGGGGGTTGCGCGCAGCTATGGAAGAAGGCAAGGCAGCGAGCGGGATGGATCCCGCTTGCTGTTTTGCCTTCCCCTTTAGCCGCGCGCAGCGTCTCCTTGCGGAGGGGTTGCGCGCAGCTATGGAAGAAGGCAAGGCAGTGAGCGGGATGGATCCCGCTCGCTGTTTTGCCTTCCCCTTTAGCCGCGCGCAGCCTCCCCTTGCCGGGAGACGCTGCGCAGGGCTTTCCTGGCTTTTCTGGGAGGTGGGGGAATTCCCCCACCTCCCGCAAAACCGGCAGAAGCCGCGCGCACTTTAAAAGGGCTGCACGGCTTCTTCTGGCTTTCCTGGGAGGGGGGGGATTCCCTCACCTCTCGCAAAGCCCGCAGAAGCCGTGAGCTCTTTAAAGGGGCTGCACGGCTTCTTCTGGCTTACCTGGGAGGTGGGGGGATTCCCTCACCTCTCGCAAAAGCCCGCAGAAGCCGCGCAACTCCTTTAAAGAGATCGCGGCTTCTCCTGGCTTTCCTGGGAGGTGGGAGAAGGGACTGATGCGGCCAGTCAGACCCTTCTCCCTCCTGTGGAAAAGCCCGCAAGAGCGCACGGAGCTTGTGTGCGGCTCTTGGGGGGCTTTTCCCGCCTGCCTCCCCCCCCCTGCATTCGCTCCATAGGACGCACACACATTTTCCATTGCTTTTTAGGAGGGAAAAAGTGCGTCCTATGGTGCGAAAAATACGGTAATTATGCACCTCCATATTCCTTCTTACCTGAAAAAGGTTCCTCATAGCCAAGCTCGTCTCTGTTTCTTAAAGTTATAGCAGGAGGTGACAAGGTGGGTGGAGTGGGGGTCCTAACCATACGCACACAGTCCGATTCCTCTGGCATCTCCTCCTCACACATGTCTTCCACTTGATAAATCTGCATCGAAGAGATAAGCACTTTTAGAAGCAAACCCTACAGATATTTTATGGAATTGTTAGTTGCCCAGGACAGCCATACTGAAATAAAGGTTTTGCCAACTTAATCAAAATAAGGCTATTATGAATGTAACTTTAGCTATTATCAATGTAACTTTAGTAAAGATTACAGTCATACCTCGGGTTACAGATGCTTCAGGTTGTGCATTTTCGGGCTGTGCACCGCGCCGAACCCGGAAGTACTTCCAGGTTTCGGCGCTTGCGCATGTGCAGAAGCACTAAATCACGCTTTGCACATGCGCAGAAGCGCCAAATCACGACCCGCGCAGACGCGGCACTGCGGGTTGCAAACGTGCCTCCCGCACGGATCACATTCGTAACCTGAGCGTCCACTGTATAGTGATTACTGCTTCATCATGAAAAAAACAGCATACATGACAGGGTTAGGATGCTCTGATTTACATATGCATTCATTCCTTTAGCTATTTCCACCTTGCTCTTGGTCAAGACTTCTCAGAGTACCTAACAATTTTTAAGTCAAATGTATAATCTATCACATCAAAAATCGTAAAACCGGCAAACGCTTTTGAGAAAAACACTATTTTCAATCCTGAAGAGCTGTAATAAAACAATTATCTAACATCCACCCAGTTTAAACTTGTCAGTGTTTCATCTCCCATTTCAAAACTGGAGAGGGAAGTTCTCAGATGCTCACCACCGGGGTCTCAACAGGTACTGCTTGTTGCACTTGAAGATTCACTGCAACCGTCTGAGGAGGAGGAAGAGTCTGAAACGGCAGCTGGACCAACGCTTCGGCAGCAGGAAGCTCCTCCTCAGAAACCAACGTGTTCTGCACCAAAACCTGACCTTGGGACAAAATGTCGGGCTGCACTTGTAAAGACTGAACGGGCGGGAGAGGAAGTGGCTGGCTGTGGGCTGGAGATGTTGGCAGCTGAGGAGAGGCTGCCACTGGGATTGGCGTGGCCTGCAAAGCTGGATACTGCTGGTGAGGCGTTGGAGATGTTATATGTTGGCCTGCGGACACCAAGGCAGGCTGATCCGGTGACCCAATGTGAACTATTGGGGAAGGTGGCAGCTGGGCTGGAAGATTAGAAGGCTGCGAGGTTGCTTCTGCTGGCCTATCATTGGCCTGCACTGGGTGATGCTCTGACTGAAGTGCCGATGATGCTAGCGGATGTGTTTGCGACTGAATAAGAGTCTGGGGGTGTATAATTATTGTTGGCGACTGGCTGGGCGAAGGAGGTGGTGGAGGAGATACCACGACTGACTGCTGGGAGGACTGGGATGGAGTTGGAGAAAGTGGAGGGGGAAGTGGCGGGGGATGGATGTGGACAGGTGTGCAGTGCTGCGATGAGGCGCTGCTGGGGGCTGGGGGAAGAGCATGGCCTTGGAGAGGGGCACAGTGTTGCGACACAGATGCTTCCTGGTTGGGAGGAAGCTGGAGCGTGATTGGTTGAACTTGTTGCTGCTGGAAGATCAGCTGGTGGTGGGAAATTTTTGAAGGTGGTGAGTGAAGAGGGGACTGCTGGTGCTTTAACAGAGAATGAGGCTGAATAGCAGAATATGAAGCTGCACAGTGAAAAGGAAAATAAAAAGAGAGAATCAATAATCATTTCCTTAATCAAGCAAATAGATCCATTATCTTTATAAATGGCAACTAATATATTCAATACAATACCCTGAATTTTACAAATCCTTAGAGAAACACACCTATGAACAGTAATATGGGGGACAATTTTTCACTAGAAAGTTCTTCATTTTTAGAATTAAATTGGGCAAAACACTAGTCAAATCTAAAACCAAAGTTGTAGCAAACTTTTTTCCAGTGACTATCCCTAGGAAGCAGTTCTTCAGGCATACTAGAATAATTTGTATGTTAACATTTGGTATCTGAAGAAGTGTGCATGCACACGAAAGCTCATACCAATAACAAACTTAGTTGGTCTCTAAGGTGCTACTGGAAGGATTTTTTTTTATTTTGTAAACAGTTTTCACTGCCGTTCGCTGCCTTAAAATCTATATAATTCATACATTTATGGAAGGGCATGTGTTATTGTGCCATCATGTATTAAAATACTTACAAATATCCTAATAAAAATAATTCCTCAGTAAAGCTTCGAGTTTGTTTGACTGTAACATTCAAATGCTAACCCTAAAATCCTATGGGTCCCTGGGATGGCAACCCATGGGATAGAGGAAGATCAGCTCTCCAGTAGTGGAAAGAGACATCTAACCTTGGAGAGGGAGACCGTATGCCGGCTGCTCCCTTCCTGAAGCTGTGGAAACTGCCACGGCCCTTTGCTTTGCTGACGTCAGAGTTCTGGTGCTTGTAGGGTTGACAAGGGTGTTTTGGGGCCAGACCAGGGCAAGGCTTGGGTATGAATGATCCATTGCTGTCCCAGTTCCCCGACAGGCCCAAACCAGGAGGACAAGTATATTAGCCCTGGGGCCGACATATTTATACCGATTTGATCCCAACAAGAATGGGAGGGAAATTTAAAACAAAAATAGGTAGGTGCAGAAGAGCAATCCTTTACCCAGCAGAGTGCTGGATTGGGATGTTCTGTTCTGTTCTCCTCTCACAAAGTGAAGTTTATTGAAATGCTTCCCTCTCATCAAATACTTCAGTTCAACTACTGTTGGTAACGGGAAGAAACCTTCCCAGATAGATATACAGTGATGTACCACTAATGTGCCACGCTGTTTCTCCAATATATGTACAGTGGTGCCCCGCAAGACGATTGCCTCGCAAGACGAAAAACTCGCAAGACGAAAGAGTTTTCCGTTTTTTGAGTCGTTCCGCAAGACGAATTTCCCTATGGGCTTGCTTCGCAAGACGAAACGTCTTGCGAGTTCTTGCGAGTTTGTTTCCTTTTTCTTAAAGCCGCTAAGCCGCTAATAGCTGCTAATAGCCGTGCTTCGCAAGACGAAAAAACCGCAAGACGAAGAGACTCGCGGAACGGATTAATTTCATCTTGCGAGGCACCACTGTAAAATGAATATGTACGTCACATTTCAATGACTTTAGGCAGAATTTTTCAGTCCAGAATGTGATGGAACACTGTCGTGTCAGTATATGAGTGCTTATTTTAATGTTCCCACTTACCTAGAGCTTCCTAGAATTTCCTGGGGCTTCAGATTTTGTGGTGCATTCCACACAAGTGACAGGACACAGAAAATATGCACAAAAATCAAACAATACATTGTATTTAAAATGAACATTCTTTGAAGAAGGTGACCTCTCTATCCTACCTGGTGCCATGAGCTGATGAATACTGGATGTGCGTGTGACGGCTGGGCTTCGAGGCTCTGCTGTTGGGCTGTCACCTTTCCGTTTGCTTTCTAGAGGATCTGACTGGCTGGCTTTGGTACTGGTTACGGGTTTATTAGGGCACACAGCTAGTGTCTGGGCATGACTACTGCTTTTTGGAGAGCCGTTCTGTGAACTAGATAATACACCCAACTTCTGGCTGCGTAATGTCAAATTCTGGACCTAAAGAAAGTGATTAAAAAATAAATCCAACATGAAGTTTAATAACCAGCTTAATGGCAAACTTTCAATTTGACGATACCAAAATCAGAAAAGCACTACAATGAAGCCCAGTAAGTTCCATGGGAAAAACAGGTCAGAACTGAGCATATCAATATCTACTGTTTACACAGTGCCAGAGATGTTAAGAATACCGAAGTCCATACTATCTTGGTCAGAGAGCTATCTTAAAATTTACATGATATTACTATCAGACTGACAATAAATAGTGGAATTCAAATCCATTCACAGTTCCCCCAAGGAAATTACTTTGCTTGGTCTTCTGTCACATCTATGATAGGCTATACAGTTCTGGTTGGGGTAGTGGCAGGATAAAATGAACAGAGGGAGGAAACATAGATACCCCTAATATTACCATACAGAAAGGCCACCTCAAAGTGTATTTAACAAACCATTTAAATATATTGCAAAAAGGGATGTAACATATTTGTATTGAACACTAGTTGTAAAAGTGAAACACAGCACAGAGGTACAAGATTCTTATAGTTCCACATGATGCTAATTGAATCCTGAAAAGATGAAGTTTCCCACTGATAAATAAAATAAAAACACTGTAGGCACTTCACTAGACCACAGCTGGGTCAAAGTCAACGCTCCTCAAATCAGAGTGACTTCTCACATTCCAGGAAACTGTTAGATACCTGCACCTAGCTTGAAATGCCAGGCTGTAAGGTGCTATACTTATAATACAAAGGGAAGGGAAGTCCAACTACAGTGATACCTCGGGTTACATACGCTTCAGGTTACAGACTCCGCTAACCCAGAAATAGTACCTTGGGTTAAGAACTTTGCTTCAGGATGAGAACAGAAATTGTGCAGTGGCAGCAGGAGGCCCCATTAGCTAAAGTGGTGCTTCAGGTTAAGAACAGTTTCAGGTTAAGAACGGACCTCCAGAACGAATTAAGTACTTAACCCAAGGTACCACTGTATATCTGTTTTGAACACTTCCGTAATCATGTTGATCAAACAGACAATAAATAAATTTATACCCTTAAGGCCCTGCATAGCTTCACACGAACCACTGTTAACTGACATCCCAAGACATTCCTGTGACCTTTGGGGTCCCTTCCAACTCTACCATTCTATGGTTCTATTAAAAGACTGGAAGAACACGGGAGCAATTCTGTCTTCACAAGAGAGGAATACTGAACATTAAGAAAATTATCAGACCTGCCTGGAGAGAATTTGAATTGTGCTTATCTAAAGGAAAACCAATCCACAATGTTAACCAGCAGGAAATTGGGCGAGAAAAACAATATTGGTGACAGATCTTAGAATACTTGACTGCTTTGGTCAGAGTTCTTGGCATGTAAAACTTGGCATTCTGTGGTACAACTGAAAAGATTCCAGCAGCTACAACAATACAATTCCCTATTTGGCTTCCTGTATGATATACAGTCAAACCTCAGACAGTGAACGCCTCCATTTTGGAATGTTTCGGCTCCCAAACGCCAAAACCTGGAAGTAAATGCTCCGGTTTTGAATGCTTTTCGGAAGCCGAATGTCTGACGCAGCTTCCTTTTGAGTCCAGGAAGCTCCTGCAACCAACTGGAAGCTGTGCCTTGGTTGTCAAACATTTCAGAAGCCAAACAGATTACCTTTAACAACAGAGGTTTGACTGTATACAGCATGAACACAAAATCTACTGATTTTGTCTGCAAAAAATTGGAAAAATCATAGATGCACGATGGAAACAAAGATACTATACTGATGCTGAATATCTTTGCTGTGAACTTATAGCAATAGCTCAAAGACTTCCAAAGTCCATGCTGCCACAAGGAGTACTTCTTTTCATACTGAAACAAAAACTCCTGGATAATGTGCCTAATGTTACTGACACTGCAAGTGTCAGTGGTCAGCGGCAAGTGGCAAATGCAGTTTCTCAAAGCTCAAACTTATAAAAACTTACATATGCTCAATCATGTTGTAAAAGAGACTAGTTGGCTTGAGAACTATAACAGTTGAACATGCCCAAGCATCAGCACTTGACCTGAAGGAATTGGTGGCAAAATTAGTAAAGGAAAGGGGAATCAAAGCAAGATACTGATGTGCATGAAATTGAAATTTATGAGACTTACATCTTAATATCACAATTCACAAGATTATTATTCAAAATGATTTGGCCAAAACATTTTCTATTTCAGAAACATAATCAAATATGGATGTATTAAATATTCTTTCAATTTAAGATGAATTTAGCAGTTTCAAGTTTGTGCTTTTCATTTGTTCTGCAAGACATCTGTTTCTGAAAACTGAAGTTAGCATTTTTTTGAGGTAGTTAGCCTTGCCTAGGGCACAAAATAGCCTGGCACTCGCACTGCCTATATGTTACTTCCAAGTAGTAGCTTAAAAATAGCAGAACTACCCTGCTCTTTCCTAGAAGGCATAGCCTAAAACAGGCTTCCTCAAACTCGGCCCTCCAGATGTTTTTGGCCTACAACTCCCATGATCCCTAGCTAGCTGGACCAGTGGTCAGGGATGATAGGAATTTTAGTATCAAAACATCTGGAAGGCCGAGTTTGAGGAAGTGTGGCTTAAAAGCTGAAATATTCCTTCTCTCCCGGAAGGACAAAAACTCCCCACCTTCATCTTGAAGAGGAATGAACTTTTTGCTGTTTGCTCTGTTACATATTGAGATGGATGATTTTTCTTTTATTTTCTTCTGTTCATTGCTCTTTTACACAAAACAGTGTCTATGACTAGGTTCCTGACCCTAATATGGTCAAAGTCACAGTCTCACTTTTAAGAAATAATACATTAAGGTATTTAAAACCAAAGAGGACAATGAACAATGACAAGGAAACTATAAATGAAAATATGAAGACAAGCACTCAAAGGTAACATGCCACAGTAAGACTGAAGGTAGTGGTAGAAAAAAGAGGCAGGAGAAAAGCAAGCAGATCAAAAAATTGAGATGATAGGGTTATTGATGTGGCAACAGTTCTTTGTGAGGTCACTGGAAGCCTTGAGGCCAAAGATCCTACATGAGAAAAGATTGCCCTTAAGCTCTAAATTCTCATACACGCTCAAATATGTGGCACACTGAGCTAATGCAAATGCAATATATTTATTTGTACAAAAATAAAAGCTTATATTGGAACAGTTGGCTGCCTGCTTCCTTGATTGTGTTCTGAAAAGGGGGATTACTTAGGAAGCAAACCAATACACGCCCTTATTTTTCAACCTGACTACTAAAATCAATACCTTAATCTTTTGGGTATGCTTTTAGTACAGGTTAACAGGGGGAAAATACAGAACAATCTTATGTTAAGCAGGGCCAAGGCATCACTGGTTGGTGGATGATATCCATGCTTTATGATGTCACTGCTGTCATAGAAACCATGTGTGCACACAAATGAAAATGCCATCAGCCAGTACAAGAGCATGGAAAGCTGAGAGAGGAGGCAACATCTTGAGTGGGGCAGGGTCAGCGAAAACCGAAACAAGAACGCTCCACAACCTGGGGCACAATTCAGATTCTGGGCACATAGTATGGAACAGGAGTTTGACTGGCTACAGAGTCAGTCAGCCCTTTGCAAAGTAGACCTCTACAGTCCCGACGAGTCAAGAAACCAAGACCGCAAAGTTATCTGTTTCGTTGATGTTGGCAACCTCAAAGTAACAGACAAACACAAACACAACAGAGGATTATCTGGTGCCGCTGACCCTTGTCTTGACCTTCGTAATCTTGAAGAAAAGGAAGTAATTGTAATAAAGGACAACGAGAACGATCCCCATTCTAATACCGAAGGCGCCGTCTGCCTTTTCAAGCAAGGCTCTTCTGAAGAACTCAACGTTGTTAGCTGGCTCAGCAACGACCTTCAGAAATACGCAGTTGGATTCCAGCATGCACTAACCCCCTCAGGCCCTCGTAAATCTGCTTACAATTCACCTGCGCTTGAGAAGATGTCCCAGACCAGTGATTCTTCCTTCCGGGGCAATGGTTGCCCAAGAGGAGGAGATGATCTTTCCTATTATGTTAACAAACTCTGTTCTTTAGTGGTTCAAATGGCACAGAAGGAAATGAAGGATAAATTTGACAGTAGTAAATGCATTCGGCAATCCATCAATCCCCGCGGATCAAACAGCAGCGCAGACTATGGCAAGCTGTCCCCCAAATCATCTCACGATGACCCCAGAAAAGCTTCTGTCTTTTATGGAGAGATGTGCAATCAGAACGGCCACAGGAATGGTCAGGGAGCAGACAGACAAATGTTGGAAAGGAAACAGTCGTGTCCTGGACAGGATGATGGCTCTGTGAGCAAAGGGTTGATGGTATATGCAAACCAGGTTGCTTCAGATATGATGTTCTCATTCATGAAGACAATGAAAGTCCAAAAAGGCAAGCATCCTCCACCAGCTTGCGTGGTGTTAAAGAAGGTGCTTTTGAAACACACCAGGGATGTCATATCTGACTTAATCGACTCCACTATGAAAAATCTACACAACGTCACAGGAGTGCTCATGACAGACTCTGACTTTGTCAATACAGTGAAGAAGAACCTTTTCAATGCAGGGACCCAGAAGTCAACTGAGATTCTGGAAGCAATGGTGAAACGTTTGTTCAAAGCATTGTCAGGAGACGATAAAAAGCAATGCCTAGCTTTCACAGCCCTAAAAGCAGGTACACACACAGACTCCAGAACTCAAGGATTGCAGTTTGCATCACTTAAAGGTGAAATGCAGGGCAGAGGAGGAAATGGACAAATGAGGCCCCATCCCGGTGGAAGCAAAGGTGCAGACAAGCACTGTTCAATGGATGTGTACGCTAAAGACCTCATTGTAACAGCGTTAATGTTAATACAGCAACACCTCTTAGAAAAAAACAAAGATCAAGCACCCACCCGCGAGACAACTACCACATCGTTTTGCTGTTCCCATGACAGAAGCGGTGGGTCCAAATATGGTTCAAGGCCAGGCGGGGGCAGGCAGGAAAGCCTGGA